CTAAGAAAATTATTATAAAGTGCTACATATAGAAAAAAAATGTTCTTATGTACTTCGTTAGATAACCATATATTTATACATACATTCATATATGCGTAATTGTGTATGTATGTATGTAGTTATTAAATTTTTAGATAGAAGAAACCGCATCGAATTATTGACGGATATACACAAAATTATTATTATTTTTTTTTTTGGTTTTGTTTTGTTCTATTAATAATAATATTAAATTTTTACTTCATTTGACGTGAAACCTCCCGCACCATCTATGTCCGTAGGCTCATATATGGACAAAAAAATTTATATATATATATATATATATATATATATATATATATATATATATATATGCAAGCAATCGTTTTATCGAAACAGCTTCAGGATACAATTTAAAAAACAAAAATGATTATTTTAATAAACAAACTTCATTCTTCAGTAAGCAAGAAATTTCAACATAATTTGTAGTATTTAGTGTTGCAAACTAAAACTTTCAAATAATTTAAGGACATCACTATTGTTTTACTTTAATCGTCTAAGAAAAGTTGTCTTTCGTAGTGCACATCGCTTATACCTACATGTACCACATAACCACAAAATGAATGTGCCTTGAAAAAAAATGTAAGTGAAATTAAAATGAAAAGGAAGTTGTAACTATTTTTTTCTAATCGTTGAATATAACTTAAATATAAATTGAGAAAAGTTGCTCTTCCGATCGTCCTTCAATTATTTAATAACCTTATTCTTTCGAAATTTTATAAAATTTTTATTGTCAATTTGGTGCAAAATTTATAATTTTCTCTTTATAATTTAATAAAATAAAATAACGCTAACATTTTTAAAAATAATATTCAATAACATTGATATTATAATATTTATGTAATATGTATGTATGTGTACATATATGCTTGCAGTTAAACCTGATTAAAAGTTACCTAAAAGAAGAACCCCTTTCCATTCCCCCCCTCCTATTAAAATCTTTTTTTCCGATGTCTTATAAAATTTCTAACAATTCACACTATAGGAGAAATCCCCATTAAATTTGAAAAAATTTGCGATCTCTGTAAATTAGAAAAAATTCTCGGCACATCTCTTATTCAAGTTCAACTGTACACATTATTATGCAATATTATACAACTTCCATTAATATAAAAACCAATATTGTTATAAATCGAGAGATAACTCTAATATTTCTTGTATACATATAAGTTATTTATAAAGATTTGAGAATAATGAACTATGAAAAATGATAATATAAAAATCATTATTATTGATTGTGTTATCCTCAAAAATAATATGTTTTGTAATATCTGCTTTTCTTTTTCTGGAAATTTTCATGCCACAAAAATATGACAACCCTATCGATACATAAAATATGACAACCCTATCGATACTTGAATTTCTCTCTGGTGTATATTATAATTATGAATAATCTTTTTTTTTCTTGCCCTTTATTACCTAAAAACATCACAAGAGAATTTAGAAGTTCTTCTAAAATTTCATTAACATTTTTCTCGGTTTTAACTTTTATGACCTTTTCTATCCAATATAGAAGTGATTTATCACTTTTTCTATCATTAAAATTACTATTGAAGAAAAGAAAAGTTTCTAAAAAGGAAAAACAAAAATAATTAGTACATTTTGAATTTATATTAATAATAATTAAATTGGAAAGGGTATAAAATAAATTTTAAGTTAATTTTTCATAATTTATTTAATATTTTTTTATAGAGAGAGCTCCTCGTTTAAAAACGTTGGAGTTGTATAGGAAAAATATACAAATTGTTTGTGTGTGACCTACAGTATAGAGCTGAAAATAAAGTTTCGTAATAATTTTGAAATATAATGAAAGTAGAATTTTAAATTAAAGTTGAAATTGACTAAAATTTCTATGTATAGGAAACAATAACATAAATTTTATTTCTTTAAGCTTCGTCTTTTTACTAATACCTATATATATTAAATTGCGGGTCCTCGCGAAGAATTTTAATTTAGAATAATGGTTTGATCTATCAAAGATTTCACCTATCTCTGTTATAGTCATTTTTGATTCTCTATGTAGAATGATATATGTATATATAGTATATTGTATTTTTCATATATAGACTGGAAATTGAAAAGACATGCTACAGTGACATGTCAGAATAATGCAAGATGAAAAAGGCAGGAAAGCAGTGTATTAAAGGAAATATTACATAAAAAATAAAAACCCTTAATATTAGAACTAGCGTACATTGTATGCATGCATACTAGAACAGAATCGTTTTTCAAATATTCATGTGATCAAATTTTGTAAAACTTTTGAAAATATTTGAAAAAATTTAAATGATATGGTTAAAATATCTTTAAATATTTTTTGCCTTAAAAACCATCTCCATGTTTTCAAATTATATTCAACTACTTAAATTAAATCAAAAACTACGATGGAAGAATAAAATTGAAATCCGAAAATATTTTATATTTTATTTTTCCATGCATATGCGCCCTGTTATATTGATTCAAGTACACACTCCAATTCTTTTAACACGAAATGGATTTCATTTAATGGAATGCTGCTGATTCTTAATACAACACCTTTTTTTTTAAAACTGTTCTATTCAAATTACGCATTAATAAATTGAATGTTATACCTAGTAAAAAAATTAAATAAAACGTTCCCCTTTCATTTTGTTTGTGTATATGGGAGCAAAAGAGAAAATAAAATTGAAAAAAAAAAATTGTGATTTTTATCCAACAGAGCGCGTACAACATATTTTTTTTTAATGTACAGTTAGACCTTATCAACTAAAAAATCGTTAACTTTATTATGAACAAGAGTTTGCATTTTAAAAAACAAAAATTTTCATTATTGAATAAAAATTTCAATTTATAGTTGTTTTGTTTCCAAAATTGTCAATTTATTTTTTTACAAAATTTTATTTTCATTTTATTTTAAAATACTGTTTTTATTTTTATGTTAAACAGTTGGATATACAATATATGTATATGCATATGTATGTACTTATGTATTTGAACCCGCATATTGTTAAACAATTGTTATATAATGGTAACAATGTTATAAAATTCATTAAACATTAAAACTCTAAAAAAATTGAAGGGGTCTCATTGCGTTTGAAGGTCAAATATTTACATGCGTACTAGTACTAGTATATAAATTGTATGTATATACAACTAAACAGTAACAATAAAAAAATTTTAATAGGGCAATTTTCTATACAAACATACATAATGAATATGTGATTTTATTTATGTATATAAAATTATTATATAGCAAACAATTCTACTATTATGCAGACAAAAAAAATTGGTAACAATTATTTGCATTGATTTGACTTTATTATAATTATGTTGGTACATAAATATTGGGCAATATGTTGAAACCTTATTTCTGTTTATATGCAAAATTAATGGTTGGAAACATTGTGTTTAGCAAACAAATAATTTCACTTGCAATATTGTAAGCAAAGAGTGTCTTATTACATTTTTGAATTACATATGTACATAAAAAAAATTTTCATTACTACAATAATTTTAAAATTAAATTTTTATTTTTTTTTAAAGTAAGCGTTTTTGTATTGTACAAAGCAAAATTTTCTTACTTTCACTCATAAAAAATAATTTGTATAATGAAAAAGTTTGCAATTAATAACCGGAATCTTATTTTTTACGTGAAATAATTCTAAATACATTTAATAATAAAATTATAATCGTCTAAATGTAATCGTTCTTATTTAATCGTTTTCAGCATTCTACATTTAATAATATTTTTTCTAAAATCAAAATACATATGTATTATTGAACACATCATTGACACAGATTAAAATATAATTTAAATATTTTATTTATTTATGACTCTATCACTAAAAAAAAATATTGCATACTTGTAGGATCCAATGTATATCGATCTATTGACCAACTAGAAAGATATATTTATTATAAATTTAATATAACAATGTACATATAACTAAACGCATATTGTAAGTGATTTTATAATGTAAATTAAATTAAATCAAATCAATAAAATCAATTAATAAAAAAATAAAATATGTTCTAATAATAAGAAATTATAGAACTGTAGAAATTTGCAAAGCCTATTTTTCAAACATTAATTTAGTTTGAACCCGGTAAAACTAGTTAAACAACTCCGTACTGGCAAAATAGATTATAGCTATTTGTCTTACCAGCCAATCACAAAATCTCCGTAATGAAAAACTGTAATTTTTGAATGTATGGGATTTTATGAAATTTCCACATAACTTTGTTTACTATTGTTAAATCATTAATATTCCAATTTTTATTAATTTCCTTTACTAAAATTACATTTTTTTTCCAAGATCAATTCATTTCATTAATCAATAGTTGAAAAGTTTTTCACATATTAAAATTTATGTCTAAAATTTCTGAAAACAAAAAAGTTATTATATAAACAAATAACCAAAATCCATTTCTTCTGAATTTTATTCTCTTGTATTTAAAAACCAAATAACTTTCTCCTTTTATTCTCTTTTTTTACATAGTACATTATACTAGATTAGAAGGTACTGCTAAAAATTTTATCATAAGATTTAAATAAAATCCCTGTTGTCAAAATAAAAAAAATTGTTTTTCTTTTCTACCATTGTCTAAAAATTTCTCTTGAAACTTAATTATAAAATGTTAAATCTCATGTTGATCTGAAGATTAAGTCAACAATTTTTAATTAATCATTTTTGCCCATAAACATTAAAAGCGTATTTATACTTGTTTTTCATTTTTTGCTTGTTTTATTAGGAAAATAGAAACATAAGATTTTCATGTTTTCTTTATTTTATTTTCTTTTACAAATACTTATGTACATATATATATATGCATTAATGTAAACAAATACGTAAAATACACAATTTTCAAATTTTACAAAAAAAAAATTTTATTTTTCATTTTTATTTATTTAAAATGCTAATTTTTAATTCAAAACACATCAAGAAACATTTTTACTAATTCACAATTTCCGTTTTTATTTCCAGATAACCAACCATCACGTATACATTATACTTTAACCGGCACAATAATGAATTGAATAAAAAAGAAGAAAGAAAACAAATAAAAAAATAAAAAAATTTAAATTTATAGAAAAATAACAACATAAACTCGACTACAACAACATTCAACCCTCTCTACATACATATGAATTTAATCAACCTGTCTGGATGAAAGGATAACAAAAAATTTTCTTCCAGAAAAAACAAAAAACAAAAACATAAATTATTGCTGTTTTTTTTATAACTTTCTTTGTTTTTGTTTAATGTTGTATTTCATATAAAATACAACAATTACTAAAAGAAAAATAGAAAAACGAAAACACCGGTGCCCATATTACATATACATATAAAATCAGTAATCCTGGCATGAGGATATAAGAAAAATATATGCAACACCATACACACACAAACACATGTTTATATATATATAATCGTAAATACTATTTATATATTTATGTATAAATTATTAGAGCTTCCAAAATATTGCAACAAAAATATTATAAAATTTCCGAAATTTTTGTACTAGCAACAAAATTAAACACCGAAAAAAAAAATCGTTTAAAAAACAGAGAAAAACAAAACAGATCCTGCAAATTATATTTCTCTTCTGTGTCTTTCTCATTCACACCTTATTATTACAAAATATAATAGATATAAATATATATATGTATATATAGATATATATATACATATAATTTACTCGAAAGAACCAACAAATAAAGAAAATATTATATAACAAAAAAAAAAAAAAAAAATGGTCCCAATCAATAGTAGATGCCTTTCATTAATCACATTTTATTTGTACTTAACGTGTGCTGCTGAGCGTGATTTTCAATTTAACGATGATTTACAGGTAACATTAGCTGAACCACAAGATGAAATTATAAAATTTAATTTAACTGGAATAAAAATGTCAGCATTAGCTACAGCCACAACATCAATGATAAATGGTGGCAGCGAAATTAATGATGGTGTTAATAATTTTAAAACACATCGTTCTAAAAATTTTTATTCTAAAGTAAGTATATAATTTTACATATAATGATAATATTAAATAAATAATGTCTATTATTAAAATGTTATATAAGTATATATATATATTCTTTTAAATATTATGTAAATATGAATGAATTTTGCTGAAAAAATAATTATACTGAGATGACTGCTTCTCATTTTCAATATGAATACATGCATATATGTATGCGTACATTGTGTAAAATTCATTATAGATTTAGATAAAATATATAAAGAATTTTATTCATTTTAATATAATAGCAAAAACAGTGATTGTGATAATATCTCTTATTATTATATTATGATTAAATGCCCGAATATATTGTATGCACTCATATGCCTTGAGATTTTGTATATGAAAAACTGTTTTGGTTCCCAAAATATTTTTAATAAATTATGAAATATTGGGTGAAATTCGCTTATATAATTGTTTATATTTGGGTTTTCCAATTTTGCAATAGATAATGTTTGCAAATTTTTATAATAAAAATATTATAACAAATAGAATAAAAAAATTTTAATACTTGTCCATTTTCTTTTGGTGTTTTTTTTCATAAAATTTTAATAAAAACGAGCATTAGAAATTTTGGAAAATTTTTTTAAAATAATTCATATGGAATACCTTGATATTAATCGAATGATTATTATTAATAATTGCATTAACCCAAGGTAATTGCCGAAATCGTATTTATTTTATCTGTTTCTATGATTATTTTATTTTTCACCCTTGCTTAGTGAGGTTTTATTTATATAAAATTTTAGACCTAAAAGGTCTATTGAATAATTTGTATCTATTACAATCATAGCAGAAATGATCCATTCACCAGTCTCCAACAATTAAAGAAAATATTTGTATAAGATTTTTAACTATTGAGCATTTTTTAAAATTATAATAAGTTTTAGAACACATACGAGTATTTTTCTCTAACAGGATAGAACAAAAAGTTGTTCTATCTTTCATTCGAATTATTCGTAATGATTCATAAAAATTCATTCGAAAAAATATAATCAGGAATCACATTTTCACTTGTAACATTTTCTTCCTTTTATGACAAAGACAGTGGCCTAAGAAAATTTTTTAAATATTAAATCATTCTGAAAATCAATTTTACTCAGTTGTACATATATACATGTTTTGCTTTCTGAGACTATAATACATAAGTGTTATATATAGAGGACCAAGAAAAAAGAAATTGGCAAAATTCCAAAGTCTATTGAATTTTAAAAGTATTAAATTTACTTTGTTTTATTATTTTTGTATTTTAAATACCCTTTTTGTTTTGGCATTTCGCATTCATGTGAGCGTTAGTTAAAGAAACTTTGTATAATATAAGTACATACTGACATAAACATGTATAGACTGTTCGTGTTATATTTTTGTTATAAATGTGAAAAGGATTGATATTTTCAAAAATGCAAATGCAAACGAATAGCGTCCATTCAGATGTGAGCAATTTGAACAAATCGAATTATTACTTTGTATAAAAAAAAATATAATTTTCAATATTTTTTTTCGATCTATAATTTCGGTATGGCCAAAATTAAAGCTAAGAGTTTTTTTTTCATTATCATCACGTATATACCACATTATTTACTTAAAAATCATAATGTCTCATATAAGGCAGGATATATGTAAGTAATTATACTCGAAAATTTTCGTTATTGTACTCTGTGAAAATCTTGTACAAACTGCATAAATTTTATGCTAATTGTGGTATTATATAACGATAAAAACAAAAATCCCTTATTGTTAATTAAAATTTTAAAATAACCAAATTTTGAATTATGTATTGTACTTGGAATATTTTATTCCATTAACATAGAATTTTCTTCATTTAAAACCTACCAGTGGTTTTATACAATAGTCACACATATACACAAATCTATCAATATACTTAATTAAAATATATATAGTGATTATATATTACCAAGTGATAATCTGTTTTATTGTAATTTAATTTTATGTCCAAGGTAAAATTGAAAAATTCTTTATTTTTGTAATTTTTTTTCTTATTATATCAGTAAACACTCTATCTTGGCCCTCTCTACGGACTAATAATAACATATATGTAAATAATATCAAGGATTCTTTGTAAAATTTATGTTAAGGATTAAATATTTTCCAAAATTAATTTCCTCATATGTACAAGAATACGATTACATACATATATGGACATACTTATTGCAGAAAATTTACAGGGTGTCAAAAGAGTGAAAAAGTATATAAAAGAAATAAAGTGAAACGTATCTATAATTTTTTTATAATTTTATTAAAAAGTTAATTAATATTAGAATTTTAGTTTCTTTTCTTGTGCATTACAGTTCTTCCAGTCATTTGTTCGAATTTTACTGCCCTCACTTACTGTCAATATATACTTTGAATGTAAAAATTTGCAGAAAGCTTGATCAAAAATCTTTAGGTTATAGTATCTAATATGATACAATCTTGAAATCCCAATCTATCAGGTCTATCTATTTTCAATATGGGTTTATGTTAGTCAATGATACTTTTACTAGATTTTACATACAAAAACAGATTAAGTTTATAAAATCCCGAATTGCTTCATAACACTTAAAATTAAGTTTAAAAATTTGTAATTGAATGGAATTAATTTGTATGACATTTCGAATACATAATTTGAAAAAAATATCTAAGAAAGCACCCCATTAAATAATAATTTATAGATTTGTAGTGCCTATGTTGTTTTATTAACATCATTGGATTTTGAACAAAATTTCCGTATTATACTCTAAAAATACATAAATACGTGTTCTGATTATATCTTACCTATATGTATAAATGTATATACATATAGTGTTATATAATATTTTAAAATTCACAAGCATTATTATCTTAACTGTGAAAGAAAAACAAGAAGGAATAAAAAACAGTTTCGTGATTATGCCAATAAACTAACGAACGATATAATCAATTATTTTCGTATCTAAAAATATATTCTGTTGAAAAAAAAATATCCTTTTTGATTTACAACGTATAATATTGAGTACACATACATACATACATACATTTATAATGTATTACACATGTTTATTTGCCGCTACTCTTATAGAGTACACACATATTCTTTCATATACATCTATGTATATATGTATAGTTATAACACATAATATAATATATAGATATATAAATGACATTGTAATAAAAAAGAGCTTTAACAGCAAAACTTTTATTTCTATATATTTGTTATGTATTATAGAAATTTCTATATATTTTATTTGTGTATTTTATTATATATTTTACAGGAAGTTCAAAAATGTCCTTATTCAGAGAGTAAAATTATGCTGTCTCTGGTATTGAAATCATATGACTGGAAGGATATTGTGGAGAATAAAAAAAATCGAGCTATAAATAAATTATCAAAATTTTTTGCAATTCCAAAGGTTTGTATTTTGTATTTTTTTTTTTTTTTGCTGATTTCTGTTTTTTCTTTGATGTTAACCAAAATTTTTCATATATGTACATACATCACGTTTTTATATTCATAATAAGTGTAATAATATATACGAGTATGTATACATGAATGAAACATAAATGATTAAATACAGAATATAATTCATAGAAACAGTGAAATCTCATCATGACAAGTTGTCAGTTCTTTTTTGAATGAATCCGTTTTCTATGATATGAAAAACAAGAAATAATAATTATAAACAATATATAAAATATATAGGATCTAGATTTCTAAACTTCAAATAGAATTCATGAAACTAGAAATCTAACATTTTATATGCACCTAAATAAAAAAATACAATGATTGCAACATAATGTGGGAAAATATTCTTATTCTAAAAAAATAGAAAATATTGGAAATTAAATATTTCTTAATAAATAAAAAAAATATTTAACTCCAAAATAGTGAAAAATATTTTTAAACAAGGCAATGCTCGTTTATTTTGTTTGATTTGATTTGACTAAATTCACATACGATAATGTGCATCCATTTTGTTTGATAAGATTAAAATTTGAAAATCAAACAAAATTTATTAACAATGTTTTTTAAAATTTTAGTGACATTTTTCATTTTAGCAAATTTCATTTGAGAATAAAATTTTGTGTTCAATATTCAAACATAACGCAATTGTCGACAAGAGCATTCCTATATACTAACCATATTCTAATTTAATAGTTTAGTTAGTATAGGACTGCTCTTGTCATATGAGTTTGAAAAAAATGGATAACTTCATATTCTTTCCGATATCAAACAATATGTTCTAAATTCTAAAAGTTTTATATGTATAGCAAACTACTGTTATATTTGCATCAAATTAAATAAAACGCATGAACGATTCTTGATATCTGAGAATGTTATGAGCAAGTCATTTTAATTCTATCGATTTAAAAAAACAATTCGAACAACATTATTTAAAAAGCGTCGTATGAAACACTTTATGTAATTTTGACAATTTTTAATACGTAGTCCTATATATAATAGTGAGTTTTAAATAGAAATTGCATACATATGTACATACACCAGAAACGGTATTGATGTGAAGAGATTTCGCTGTATTTAAACAATTTTTTATAACATTAAATATTTGCCTGTTGAGTGGCTCTAGCTCCCCCAAAAAAAAAAGTAAAATTCTAATGATTTCCTCTTTATTTTCAATCTTTTTGTATTTTTTTTTTGTTCAAAAAAAAATTATAAATTTAAAATTGATCGAACAACAAAAAATATAAAAGGCTTGTATCGATTTGTAAATCTTCCTTTTGGGCATAAAAGTAATAAAGGGTGAAAGAATAATCTACGAGTATATAAGATTAAAATTGATTTATTGGGACTTCAAATACAAAACCAAAAAAAAAAGCAAAAACCTGAAAAAAAAATAAATAAAAAAGCAATGAACAATAAAAGTAAAATGTAGCAAATTTGTCTTTGTCCAATTTAATGTGAATTTTAGTGGTTCTAATAATTTAAAGTTAATTTACAAAAAAAAAGAGGTGATAAAAGAAAAATTTTCGATTGTTCATTACTTATTCAGATTGAAATTTTGTGCTTTTTTTTCGAATAGGCACTTTGATAAAATTTTTTTATTCTAAAGGTTTCAGTTCCTATACCAAAATTTTGCAAAAAAGAAAAAACCAAACGATTATTTCATGGTTGATTGCAATCACTTCATGTTACTTGGAGCTTTTATCTACAAAGTCCTTATAAATTGCAAAAATAAAAGGTTTTAGTATTATTTGGTAATGATTTTTTTAAGTATAACATCAAGTTCTAATTACATTCTAAATTAATATTGGAAACCTTCGTTGTAAGATGATCTTTCCATAAAATTCATAAATTCATTGTCTTAACACCTCAAATTAAAATATTAAATTTTAATGAAATCGGTTGATAATTTCTATTTACATACGCAAAATGGCCCGTAGTAAACGTCCAATTGCTGGCAACCTGATTTCTTCCAAAAGTTAGGAGGTTTCAGATATACTCGAATAAAGTTTATATATGAAATTTCAAGTGAATCTGTTGAATACTTTCTTCACATTGACCAAAAATGTAAAATAGGCCCGTTAAGAAGTCCAGTTTCTGAGGCCTGATATATCCCAATCCGTTATATAGTCGAAATAAACTTACATATAAAATTTCATCAAAATCGATTCAACCGAACTTGAACTGCAATCAAAGAATTTAACATTTAAATTAAAAATTCAATGAGCTTTACGCCAAATATTGCCGAACCGAAAGTTGTTTGAGCTAAAATAAGTGTTATACTATGTTGTTTCATTAGGATGAAACCTTATAGAGTAATAACACAAAATAACTACTATTGAATATTAAAAATTTTCTGAATTAAAAATTGCAAGATTTTTACTTCTACCAAATTGTAATAATTGATTAGTGGATAAACATTTTTTAAGTAAAAATGAAATAAGCTTAGAATTTTGAGAGTTAGGTTTGTTGCCATACTTGAAGCACATAACCGCAAAGTTTTCTGCAATTAAATTTCTTTTAAAATACTTTCGCCGGCTATAAGAAAAATATCATCTATTAATTCTGTTTGTACCATAAATTTGAAAAAGTCAATAAGATTTAAAAATCATTCTATTATTCTCGTAATTACAATATCTATTTTGGATTTCAGTGTTAATCTCCGTTCAAAACAACCTTCCATGTTCTTCGTACATATACAATATTCAATTTCCTTCTTACCTTTTGTCGTCTTCGTAATCAATAAACAATATTCATTTCCATTTTAAATATTAACATGAATGTATATAAGTATATACAGACTTATATATAAACTTGCCATTGACCCACTGTGTTTATTACATATATTTATAAGTATACATGTATGTATAAATAATAAAATACATACAACCATACACATAATTAGATATAAAGGCAATCAACAACCCTAATATTCCTCCCTTAAAATTAAGGGAAAAATTAGAACGAAGTCATTGTTAATCTTCATTATAGTACATACATACATACATATTTTTGTTTTCTTTTTTTTTTCCTATTCTTGTCATGATGTACGTTGGGATACATAGGTATACTTATCTATATGTTTATATATGTAAATTGTGTGATAATCACAAATATTCATTTTTATTTTCCCCTTTTATGTTTTCTTTTTTTTTTATTTCTTTCCTATTTAATTCTACTTAATATTCTGAGTTTATATGCGTTTTTTGTTTTGTTTCTTTTTTAATTTCTATCGTTTCATTTACTAGATGGTATTTATACTCAAATATATACATATATTTTCTATTTATCTATATATTTAGGAATATTTAAAAATGGAATCAATATCTCGAAGAGATATGCATGAAATGTTGAAAAGGTCAATTAAACGTGGTCCAAATAAATGTAGTACAAATCGAAGACTAGGAAAAATTGAATTCATGGTAAGTTTTACTATATTTGCAATGAAATATTTTTATAAATATTTTATAAGTATGTATGTAACATATATTTTATCAAAATGTTATATTTACGAGTATATTTTAAAATATTTGAATATATTATTGTATACATAAACATACTTAAATATTTAAAAAAAATTTTCTTTTATATTACCATTAATTTTTGTTTTCTCATTACAAGATTGGTTGTGGACAATCTTCATACTTTTCAATTTCTGATTCAATAATAAATCAAATTGCTGAACAAATGAAAGATGGTTCAATAGATGAAATTGCTGGTATTGATTTCGGCTGGTGGATAATATGGAGAAAAGGTGTTAGTAATAGGTGTGTAATATTATAATAGATACGTTTAGAATCTGAAATAAAAGTAAAATAATTTTTAATTATATAATTTTTATAATTATATAGAGTACAGAGATCAAAAAGAGATACTGAAGGATCAGGGGAATACGATTATACTGGAGAATATGATTATGATGATGGAGATGATGACGAGTAAGTTAATAATATGTTTACGTGAAATTTTTAATAAGAAAACAACGCGATTTAATAGAAGGAATCGGAATTAATTTTTTATTTTAATAGTTGATGAATTTTTAAAAATATATTATTTAATGCAAGATAATCTTATGAGGGTTTACTCAACAAACATTTTTCATGAATTTTGTTTAATTGTTTAGAATTGCATTCATGCAGCAAAAAAGGACGCAAAATAATTCAATTCTCAAAAAATAAAGATCTTGCACAATATTTAATATCTAAATCTACTTAAGCTTAAAATACGATTGAAATTTAATTTGAAAATTGTATTGAAAATAAAATGAAATTGTAAGAAGTGAAATTTAAAATTATTCCACTTATGTATATTAAATATTACATAACCAGTACATAATGTCAAAGATTTATCTTTTAATTGGAAATCTGAAACCAAACAACCATCTGGAATTAATTTTATTTGTCACCTAAAAAGAAAGACAAAACAAAAACTCTAATTACTTTCAAGTGCGTAAGCAATGTCATAATTGCATTAATGATACTTGACATTCATGGCTAATTGTCCTTATATTCTAATTCTCTGTTTACGAGATAATTTTATTTCTAATTAAATACATTCAACTCTTCCTTTTTTTGCAGTGGTGGTGTAACCGATATTCCAACAACACCAACTCATGCTCACCGTCATCATCATGGTGCACCTAAGGTAAGAAATCCAATAATTATTTACTTAATGTGTGTTTTATTGAAATTGGTAACCAAATAAACGTTTATCTTTAAAAGAAAAAGGAGATATTAAAAATTATGAATAAATTCTGTATTATTTGACGCGGTGCAATTTATTTAAAAAAAAATTCTTAGATTTTTAATAAATAAGCTTTTGTAATATAATTTTCACATCGTTTTAAAACCATAGAAATTGCACATTAATTCTAAAAAAAAAAAAATAATTAAATATTGCACTTATCTGAAAAGTTGAACATAATAAATTTTGTTTTTAGAAAAATTATTCAAAATGGAAAAATAGAACAATTTCTTTCTTTAATAAAATCAAAAAATGAATTTAATGAAAAAGAATTACAAAATTAAATTATTTATTCTATATTCTGAATTTTTCATATTTTTTTATATACAATGGCACTGACTGAACTTTATACGTTTCGATAATGAAAAAATCCATAATTTTAAAAAAAAAAATATTAATTGTAAAAAATTAATACCTATAAATATGTACATACAACATGATTGTACAACAAACTTGTAAAAAAATAGACAAATTTTCAGCATAAAAAAAAACACATTTGTAAAATATTTTCATTCCTCACAAAATTTGATATTTAAATTTCCTAACTCTTGTTTATTAGTACACTCAGAAAAAATGTTGTCGTTTAAATAAAATACAAAACTTTTTATTTTATTGAGTTTTGAGACGAGGTCACTTTTTCTCCAATATAAATTGCCATTAAAATTATAAGTAAAATCTGAGTTATTTGAGGACCGTTTTTTTTTTACTTTGATGTCGATATTTTCCGACAATTAATTCCTGGGACAGAAGAATTTTATTGTTAAAAACTCTATACATATATGTACATATTTCTCGGAGCCTGAGTGTAAAAATTCAAAGTAATTCAAAATATTCTTAATCAAGGTATAGACATCGTTGATATAAAAATTAATTAGTTTCAAAATTTAAATAAAAAATGGCTCTATCACAGTTTTATTTTAGTAATAGTAATTTACAAAACCTTCTTTTTCTAAAAAATCCTTTCAATATCTTCCATGTCAAATCAAATAGAAAAATAAAAAAAAAAATATTCAAAAAGATTAGAAATTACACAATAATCCAAGGTTTTGTTCAATTCCGTTTCAAAAATATGAACAAATATAGAATAAATATTAAAAAAAATGTTGATTTTGTAAAATTTTCGACTGTACCTATTTAATTTTCTTCAAACAAAACTGAAATTTAATTAAGTTACTTTGTCAATAAAAAAACCAAAAATATGTTTTACACTTTTTATAATTCATACTAACTTTGTATATATATATAAATCTTTTTTTTTTATTTACTTCTATGCGCTTATATTCATCTCGACAAATCTTAAAAACTCATTAAAAACAAAATTTGCAATAACAATTCATCGTATGCTTTTAAAACATAAAAATAAAATTATATGTACTTTTTAATACAATAATCACATCAACTTATGTATTGTTCAAAATAAATAAAAAAAAAATTGTGTTGTCTTTTTACATTTCATATATTCTAATAACTAACAATAATTATATAACAATTATAACTAATAATAATATAAACTATAAAAAAAAAATATTGGTATATAAATTAAATAATTTAATAAAATAAAGCCGGTTATACCTGAAAGCCCAATTACAAAAATTTCAATAAATTCAGTTGAATCACATAATATGAAATATAAGAAAAACGATTTTAAACCTTTAATATTACCAACGTCTGGGGAAAGTACTATACATACAATTGTTAATATTGATGATGAAATTGTTAAAAATGAAGTATCAAAACTTGAATCAGTTATATCAAAAACAATTGAAAATACACAAAAAATTAAAGATTTATCATCATCCAATTATGAGCAACATAAATATAAAAAAGGTGATCATTTGGATGTTTCATCAACATTATCTAGAGAGGATGACTATCAAGTTGAAGATATAATTAATGATGATAAAATAATAAATAGCGGTGAATCTATATTACCACCATCAATGGCATCATCAATATCATCATCTTCTTCTTCGGCTTTATTACATTCATCGAAATCATCAATACCATCATTATCTTCAATTGATTCAACAACAAGTCGTATTATTTATATAACAACAATTAAACCAAAAATAAATCATCATTTATCAACTTTAGCAACAAATAAAAATAATTTTAATAACAAAAATTTTTACAATGATAATAATGTAATTATAGCTTCTACTACTGAAACTAATTATCCTATTAGTACTTCAAATAAAACTACAACTACAACTACTACAACAACAACAACTATCACTTCTCCTACACAATCTACTTCTAGTTTATTAAATTTAAATAGTTACACATCACCATTATCATCATCATCATTATCGTCATTATCATCGTCTATTGAAAATAATTTAAATAATAATAATTATTATAATCCCAAAAATCAAAATACCTATTATAATTCTGAATCAGTAGAATTAAATGCTTCAACTGAAATGATATCAAATAATAAAAGTACAATAAATAATAATTATTCAACACAATCTGCAATAACAACAACAACAACAACATCAACAATAACAACACCATCAACATCATCATCATCATCAACTATGACATCAAAAATAGATAATATATTCGAACAAAATTTAATTAATTTAAATGAACAGAGTACACTTAATAGCTTTATTACCACCACTATATTGCCAAAGGTAAATTTCAAAATGAGAGAAATGAAAAAAAGAAGAGACAATTTACATAAAAATCTCTTAATCCCATCGATTTCGATAATTTCTAATGAGAAAGTTTTTTTTTTTACATTATTTATTTTATGCATTACCCTTATGACCTTTTAAAATTTTCGAAAAATTTGACACCAATAAATTGATTCAAAAATATTTTTTAATACAATATTTAAAAAGTATTTTGGGTAGCATGAAAAGCTTCGGTTGATTTTTTAAATTGTTTAATTGATTTAATAATAGCAATATATTCTCATAGTTCCTATAAAGTTTCTTGAAAAGTCTCCTATATAAAACTTCACAAATTTTATACATTAATCTTAACATTAATCTTAAAATTATTGAAAAGAATTTCAGTTAAACGACACGATCGAAAACTGTAAAACTCTTGTCTTCTAAACTTTTACATTTAAATTTTAATTATTGTGTTATTGACTCTTTTTTTTAGTTATCCTTGATTAATTATATAAAAATCTGAATTACCAACTGTAATGAAACTGTTAAAATCTTGGAATAACAATATGATCAAATAACAAATTATATAATAAACAAATTATACCGAAAATGAGTTACTAATTCGCATTAACGAAAGTTTTTTTAACATAATTTCAAATATTAAGATAAAATAAAAGAAAAAAAAATTTTCTCATTAGAACATTATTTTGTTTTCCAAAAAAAAATCCGTAAATCCATAAGTAAATTTTTACATATAAAATCCATAATGAAAAATTAGAGAAAAGAAAAACAAAATTTTCTTAACCCTAAACCGAAACATACATACTTTATATATGTACATTGTTTTTATGTTATATTACTCTTATTATCATTGTGTTGGGAATGCCAAATGAATACCAAAAAAAAAAACAATTTGTTTTTGAAGAATGCAACTATGGAGTTTTTGTTTACTGAAAATTTTTTGTTTTTGTTGACTTAGAGAATATTTTGATATCCTTTTCAATATTTTTTTTTTATATAAATTTAGAATAATTTTATATACTTGCATATTACTTAATTTCCTTTTTTTTTTCTTAATTATTTTGTGAAGCTCAAATATACAAAAATGAATTTTGTTTTTTCCCTTTTTTAAATACATACATAATAATTATACAAAATAATTATGTATGCATTCACTTGTTGCTTTCCAATATTTTATTGTTATTTTTGAAAAAGGTTTTCACAAACTTTTATTCGGCATTTTTTTATACATACATACTTATACACATATACAATATAATTATGTATGTACTATTAAATAAATTTTTGTTGAAACTCTAGTAAATAAAGTAATTATATTAATTTGAATGGATATAACATAAATCTATAATTTTAATTACTACATATATTTATTGATAAAAAAAAAATATTTAAAATAAAAAATAACCAAAAACTATTATTTAATTTATATTGGCGTAAATATCAAAATCTAAGATCACAACATTTCAACAATTATTTTTTACAAAAAAAAAATTACAACGTAAATTAAAAAAATTCTCTCAATTGAGTATCGTTTTTGGTTTCCACCAAATCATCCACCAATTAAAAATACCTATAGCATACAAACAAATTTTTGAAAAAAGTCTTTTATTTTTGTTGAAAATATGCCACAATTTTTAATTATCAGAAAACTTAAGAATAATTTAAGAATGTGGAACAAAAACCCTGTTAACGTTTATCAACACAACCTATACACTAGTATAAAGGTTAATAATATGTCGACGGACAATCGTTTATTGTCACGTTAAAATGGCCCTAATCAGTACTAAATTTACAAAATAAACAATTCAATTTAGCTTAAATAAAATGTTAATCAATATTTGCAATACTAACATCTGTTAGAGTGAACTCAAATAATATATAAATATTTTTTATAAATTCTACCCTCATTCAAATACTTCTAAGTTTGAAATTATTAAAAATTTTTCCCTGATTTTTTCTTAAACTCTGATCTCTTCATCATAAATTGTAATGTGTTTTAATTTTCGTACATACTTACAAAAAATAATTGAATTTATTTATTAAAATACTTATAGAAAGGAACAATAATTTTTTATGGGTACATACATATAACTTTTAATTTTAAATTTTGAATTTTTGAGAATCAAATCCAACACATATTTTTAAAAATTTTTTTATATATTTTTTCAATAATCTTATTATGAACAAATATTTTTAACTAGATATTTTAAAACTAATAATTTTCTTCTCTTTATGTATTGTGTGTTAATTTTAAAATTTTGAGAATTTATTTTTAATATCAATTAAAATATTGTTTTGTAAATAATCCAAAGTGCATATAATTCTTTTTGAAAATTGAATTTTCTTAAAATAAATTTTTTGTAAATATATTTTTGCATATATATAAATATTATGTGTGTATATATGTGCATTTTTTCATGTTATCTACTTCATTTATTATATATATTGTATATAAATTAAAAAATTAAACCTATTTCATTTTCATACGTATTATATATATATATATATATTTATTTTTTTTCAACTTTTTCTTTTATTTCATTTATGTAATATATTCAAAAAAAAAACAATTTAAATATCATTATACATAATGCATTATAAATAAAAAATATACCGTTAACTAACAAACAACTTGTCAGAATCGTGATGACGTTACTACAGTAGTACCACTAACGGATGATATAGTAGTTTTAGCCACTAATAGCAATAATTCATCAATATTTTCTCGTAACAATATTGAGCAAATTCATTCAACAATAATAACACCAGTTGAAATTGCATTATCATCTGAAACGGTAATATCATCAACATCGGCACCAACTGAATTTATAAATCCAAGTACTACAGCAACAACAATAGCTGCAACAGATGTATATGAGTTATCAACAACAAATGCAGCTAATTTCGGTGAACAAGCAACAACACTTTCATCTGGTGCAACAGTTTTTAGCCCAACCATATATCCATCCACTATTTCTTCTATCACATTTGCTTCTAGTATACCTAATAATAGAAAGGTGATTTGTGGGTTGTTGTTCTTCTTTAAAATGTCAAATAAATATCAAATTTTTTTTGTTTATTTTTCTGCTCTTGTACATATTATTGTAAATATTTCCGAAAACTGTAAAAGTTTGAAAATCGCAACGTGTTTTAAAATAAAAGAAAAAGAGTTAAAGATTAATTTTAAATATTAACGTAGCAGAAAGTTCCTGTAAAATAATTTTCAACGGAGGATAAAAATTTGGAATTTAGATGACATTTTAAGAGTTTGTATTCTAAGTAGACAAAAAAAAATGAAAACAATTTCTGTTAAATTTTTTGTACATTTTGTATTTTTGGTATCTTTTTTTCCTATTTTATGTTTAATTAGTTTTGTGTAATTTTTATATGATATTCTTCCCATTGTTACAGGAGGTGTATGTTATTTTTTTTATATCTTTTAATAATTTAATTTTATATTTTATGTAATGTTTTGTTATTATTCCTAATTGAATTTATTAACTAAAAATTGTAATTTTTAAATGACATGATTTTCAATTGTTAATAGGATGATGAAGATGGTGATGACGTGACAACTGATATTGAACAGGAAACTGAAATTCCTAATCATGAAGATATTCTGTTGGACAATTCAACCGTAAGTTTTTCTCATAGGATTTAGAAGTTGAGACAAAAATTCGATACTTCAGTATTAAAATAAATGCTAAAGATAGCTATTTTTACAAAATTGATGTTTAAGCACATATATTGCGAACTTGAATGATAGTAAAAGTTAAATTTCAAAATTTAACGCAATCTTATTTATGTCGATTTTATTTAAAAATAAATTTTTATAGTTTTAAGTAGATTTTTAATATGAACTTTATATGAATGTTAATTAGGAATATTTCAGATTCTTGAATTCAAAGATTCTGAATCTGAAACCATAAGTTTTAAGGTATTTTCATATTAACAATTTAATTTTTTATAGCAGGTATCAACACAAGAATCATCAACCGCTGGGTCAACAACAGTTACAGCAACAATAAGGCCAACACCTCCTGCAACTACTTCGACAACAATCGTCCCAAGTTCAGAACCAACTAATCTTATACCAATTATTAAAAATCGCATACCAAAATTACCAGTAACTGCTGGAAAAGCATTTACATTTAGGGTTCCCGAAGAAACATTCTTTGATCACGAAGATTCAACAAATCTTAAACTTGAACTTTTAGATTTTAGTAATAATGAACTAAAACCGAATTCTTGGATACAATATAATTCTTTAAAGAGGGAAATTTATGGCTTGTAAGTTAGAAGGATATTTTCATATAATCATAACTTATCCTAAAAATCCTAAATATCGTAAAAACTAAAAAATTAACAATTTGATGATAATATTTTGTTTTTTTCCTTAAACGGACAATACATATAATAATAGATATTATTAATTTTTAAGGCCCCTAGAAGATCACGTCTCACATTGGCAGTTCAAATTAGTAGCGACAGACAGTGGAAATGAAAGCGTTGCTGAAACAATTGACATAGCTGTTCAACAATATAAGGGTCATAGAAGTGTGAATCATGAAATAAGTATTGGAATAAAATTTAATAAAAAATATTCTAAAAATATTGATTGGCAATTGCAGCTTCTCAGGGGTTAGTTTGAAACTTTGTCACGAATTAGCGTTAAAAAATAATTAAAACGACAAAAAAAATGTTTTCTTCTAGGTATTAGTGAATCTTTAAATGATCAAACAAATCCATCCCCAATTATTGTTCGAGAAGTTAGACAAAATCAAGATCCTTCGTTTGCAACATTTTCTTATTATAATGAAACTTTACCAAAAGACGTTTGTCCTACAGCATACCAATTAAATAGTATTATTGAAAAATTACGTTCAAATCTAAACGATTCCATGTATCCTGATTTAAGTATTAAAACAGTGAACTATCAATTGGTAGGTAATTGCGAAAAAACATCACATCATGTTACTACATCAGCCCCATTTGTCCCGCATATTACCAAAAATTATTCACCCGTGCCAAGAAATCAGGTTGATCGAGTTAATGCAACTATTGGTCATTTATTAGTTTTTAAAGTTCCGCCAGATACATTTTATGATCCTGAAGACACAACTGATTTAAAATTGTCTTTGTTAACAATGGAACGAAATGAATTAAACCCGAAGCATTGGTTACAATTTGACTCAAAAAATCAAGAATTTTATGGCATACCAAAAGTAGCCGATTATGGATCCGAAGAATATCTACTGGTAAATATCTATTACATTTTTATTTGTCGAAGTTTATTACATTTCATTTTTATATACCAAAAATAGTGTAAATAGTGAACCAAAATATTAAATTTTGTTCTAAATTTAAGGTGGCCGAAGATCATGAAGGTTTAACAGCAACTGACGCGTTAGTAGTTGTTGTGAATCATGCACCAAAACGTGAATTTAGCGTTTATTTTAAAGCCAAATTAGGTATACGTTACGAACAATTTAATGCTCAAATGCAGAGAAAATTTGTTGAACGCGTTGCTAGATTATTTAATGATCCAACGCCACAATATATTCAAGTACGATCAATAACACAAAATCACGACAGTGAAGAAACAATAGTCAACTTTTACAACACAACCCTACATCGGCAACATAATAGATGCCCGGAAGAAGAAATTGAAATGGTTAGAAGTGTATGGTTCTCTAATAGCGCAATTTTAAGAGATCGTGTAAAAAAAAATATTGGAAATGAATTCAATTTATCAAGTATGCAAATAATTGCAATGCCAATTGGCTCCTGTCATTGTAAGTTATTCTTAAAAAAATTGAATTACAAATAAATATTAACGGATTTAAAATAAAATATTTATATTTTAGCAAGTGATTTTGGCGGTATTCATCGTGATATTATACCTATAAAGACTGAAGAAGCTAATACAACATCGACATTTAAAGATGATTACATACTAACTTTTGTGTTGCCAGCAGTTATAATTTTACTAATGATATTATTAGCTTCTATAATAGCATGTGTATTACATAGACGCCGTTTAACTGGTAAAATGGAACTGGGTACGTTTTGGCTACTCAAACACATTAAAATTTAATTTTTTAATAATAAATATTATTTACCATTTAATTATAAAAGTTATTCTAACTTAAATATATTTTTCTCCATTTCAATTTTGTCTATAGGAAAAACAATTGTTCTAAATGGTAGGGGCTTTTTCTTTGATTTTTTTTAATAATTTTAAATTTTACTTAATTAAGTGTGGAATTTTTGTAAAAATTTCGTTTTGGTTTTATGTAGATCTTAAAAATTTTGTTTGGTAATTAAAGTTATATTTGACTTGTTTCATAGTTTTTCGTTTTTTGCTAATTTTTTTATAAAAATAAATAGATCAATAAAATATTATTTAAATTAAAATATTAAATATTGGTCAAAACAAATTTCATCAGAATCAGAACATTACACATACAAATACCAAATGTTTTACAAATCATTTTTATGTTTAATTTTAAAATATTTGCAATGGAAGAAATATTCAACTACCACCAATTTTTTGTTTTCTTTAAAAATGTATCAAATGTTCAGTCATTCTCAAATCATATGTGGAATATAAAATTATATTGTTGTTATAAGAGTATGTATTCTATGCTAAAATACAATGCTGTATAAAATAATTCTGAATATATAGGAAGTTTTTTAAAGTTCGTTAAAAAATATTATACGACACCTCAGATTATTGTGCCAAAAATGACCAATAACTAACTTTTGCTTTTAGTTTCTAATTGATTTTAACATTAAAATTTATTTTTAATATGCATATTTCTCTTATTTAATTTTTAAACTTTTGTTTTCAACTCTCTAATTTTGTTCTTGTTTGATAATTCAAATTCATTTTGTTAGTTTTTACTTGCACACAAAAAAAGTTATTTTTAAAGCTAATCTAATTGTTTCTTCTTCAAATTTTTGACTTTAGCAACTAATATTTTACTGTTAATTACAAAATTAGTCCTCTTTGCTATTATTGAGTTGTGAAATATTTAAAACAAAGAAAAACAAAGCACAAGAATTTTGGTAAAAAAATATTATAATCTAAAACTATTATGATTAGTCATTTGAAAAAAAATTATAAAAGTTAATCGCCCACTTTCTCTTAAATACATCGCTTGATTGGATAATATTCATAAGTTTTGCAATTCCCAGAATAAAATTCTTTTCGAAATTTGAGATTTTAATCTGAATATTTTTGAGTAATTGAATAACACTCCACTACCTCAAATGATGGGTCCACAAAATAAATAAATATCTCATTTCATAATTTGTATCCCATCTCCATTATTTTATGAAAGAAGTGATATAGAATTTATAAAATGAATATTTATAAATTCTATATCACTTCTCCACATCTATAACTTTTTGAAATATAATGTTTAAAACCGTTTCCGTAAACAAACTGTCCTAAATGAGACAGAAAATATTTAATTTTCCAATACAAATTCTAGAGAAAAACTTTTGAATAAAACTAACATAAATGCTTTAAAAAATATATATATTTTAAGCGCCGAATTCTTAATTTAATACAAAAAATATTTAAAACTACTTTTCAAAAATAACCACTATCGTTTTTGTTTTAATATACATAAATATAACTATCATCTTTCAAAATAAACAAAAAAAAGTAAAAATAAACAAAAGAAACAGTGTTTCTATTGTACATACATACATATGTATAGTTTAGGATATAACTAGAATTAAAAATTTTATTAGATTTTGGTTGTGTTTTTCAATATTTATTTTAATCATATTAAAAATAAATAATTGTATTTTCTTATACTTTGAAATATTTAATTTTTACTTAAAGGAGATGAAGAAGAACGTAAATCATTTCGTTCTAAAGGTATACCAGTGATATTTCAAGATGAATTAGATGAGAAACCAGAAATTGGAAATAAATCACCTATTATTTTAAAAGATGAAAAGCCACCATTACTACCTCCCTCGTACAACAGCACTAATATAGACGGTAATTTCAAAAATAATAAATGAATTTAATGACTGAAATAATTTTATAACAGAATACAAGATATTTTATAAATAGATTTTTAAAAAAAATTTTAGGTGATAACGATTGCGATGAATATGTACCACCACCGGCTGTAGTTGTAGGTAATCGCGAAATTCGAGGGAAATCTCCTGTAACACCTTCATATCGGAAACCACCACCATACGTATCCCCATAAATTAATCATTATTAATCCTACATAAATAATTTTGGACATTTTTATTAATTCATTTGAACTTTACATTTTTAATGTAATTTTAAGTTTCTTAAAGAGATTTTTGTTTTTTTTTTTTTTAAGAAAAGCAAATAATAAGATATCTTCAAACGCACTATTTTTATTCCATCCTTAAAATTTCAAAATTTAGTAATCAATTTTTTAAACGTTTTTTAGAGAAATTTTTATTATTTTTCTAATTAGAGTCAAGAAAAAATTGGTATTAACAGAAATAGAATATAGAAATAAATTTGAAATATAATATTATGATATTATCGTATTAAACAAAATCCAATAATTTAGTAACTTGCACTAATTTTCTGATAATTTAAGAAAATTTTTTCTATAAAATCATTAAAACTAATTTGATTTGATTTTGAATTTGCGAAGATGGGAAAAACACTCAAACAATTTTTTGTTATTTAAAGAATATGTTAATTTAAAAAAGAATTAAAACACATTTTATTATAAATTTACAAATTTAAGTTGTCACAAAAGCAAATATTAAAGCTTCATAGATATTTTTTATGACTGATTTTCGTTTAAATTCTTTTACTTTATGAGTAATTAATATTTAACATAAATATGTTTTTTTTTGTAATTTGTGTTTAAATAATTAGGTAAAATAAAATAAATATAGAACCTAGTTTTAAGAAATTAATGAACACAAATCAAATTTTTTATACGAAATTTTTTTATTTTCTCTTTTGATCAAAAAAAGAGAAAAACTAAAACAACAACAAAAAAAAAATAAGTTATCATAATTATAAATACATAAATATATGCAAGATTATAAATAAATACTTTAGTTAATAAGAAATTTTAGGTTTTACCAAGTAAAGCAATCATATATATTGTTTCATATAAAAAAAAAAAATTTAAAAAACAAAAAAAACCATCCATAAAAAAATTTTTTAAACAAAATTTTTAAAAGTAAAAAAAAAAAAAGGTGTTCAACACCTGCAATTTAAATAAATCATTTTAAATTATTATTTAGACTTTGCTTGATAATCGAATGTTTTAATTTAAATCAAATTTTTTGTAATTAGTTATTTAATTTATTCATATGTATGTATATGAAAATTTTGTTCTTGCACCACTGCCACAAAATTAAAATTTGTTCATATGTATTAATAAAAAAATCATGCACATCATCATCTCTTTTAAAATTTCATTCAAAAATACTTTTTATTAAAAATTTTTATTCATTTATTGCGATTTTTTTTTAAAGAATTCGTATTTAAATGCGTAAAAATGTGTAACAAAAATATTAAAAAATAATATATATAATAATTATCTGTTTTCTAATAAAACTTGCAGATAATCTTAAACAAAAAATTTTAATAATTACCAACAAAATGTCAACCAAACCACCCATTTCAAATTACCATTAAAATTATTAAGAAAACCATTTCATAACGTAACAATTCCCATAAAATTCACTTAATTTCTTTTTTTTATTTTATTTAATAATATTTATTAGTATTAATTAAACATATTTAGATTATACGGTCAAGTATATTCAAAAATTGGATAATCTTTATATTATAACGTAAAATGTTTAGACCATACCGAATAACCAAAAACAATACATAATCAGACTACCAATCCAAAGTAAAGTTTTTCGCCAGGAAACAAAAAATATTTGAATTTTCTTAGAGCAAAAACTATACATAATCTTATGCATATACAGTTCTTGGTAGGATCTTTATATTTTAGCGTATCTTTAATTATACTGTATTCAAAATATACGAATTTTGCTTTGATCTATTTAAATGTTGAGAAAAAAGAAAATATCTGTTTAATTTTGCTTCAAATTTCAATAACGACTTCCTTTGACACAAATTATAATTCAATTTTTGAAACTTTATATAAGTATAAATGTAAATGCAGTACTTTCGTACTCGAGTTGATGCAGTAAATTATTTCTGATCACTACCTTTTGTTAACAAATAATGTATTACAACATAAATAATCAATATATTAATGAAACTATTATATTTTGTATTTTTTTTTTAAATTAAACCCAAAATGTATTACTATATGGTGTAAAAAACTAAAAATTAATTTTATAGGAATTGTTCAAAGAATGAAAACAACAACTTGTTAGGGTAATGTAAAAATGAATTATAATATTATTATTATATTGATTATTGTAAATTAGAGCAAAAGTTCAGAGTTACTTCAAACTTTACAAAATTGTGCATAAATATATAGCTATATAATAAATAAAGTCGATTTTGGCTGATTTTTTGTTTTTTATTATGATTTGCAAAATACTTATTCTTTATGTTACATGAATTAAATAAAAACACTTAAAATTATCATGTATGTACATATAGATATATATTTTTATAAAAATCATAAATAAAGTAAAAAAAAGAAAATAAAATAAACCAAATAAATAATATCCTTAACCCATAATTTTAAAATAATTTACATATATAAAAATATTTATTGAAATTTATAAGAATCGAAAGATATTGAGAACTTTTTCTTTTTTTTTTCAAGTAAAAAACTCACTGTTTTTCAAATAAAAATAATATTATAAATAAAAGTATTATTTGCTATAAAAATAATCTAAATTAACCTTATATTTTAATCGTACCAAGCAAATAAAGCATATAATATTTTATAAAAAATTTTTACATATTTAAAAAATAAATAAATGGAAAAATGAATAAATTTAATTACTGTATTTAAGTGCACTACAAAGTTCATTTCAGTAGTTTCATTTATATTATGACATTTTTTAAACAAGATGTGCAAAAACAAAAGTAAGGAAATATGTTAAGTCTTTTACGTAGTTTTGAATAAATTAAACAACAACTTTAATAATCATTTATTGAATTAATTATTCTTGTATATTTGAACAATTGACTATTCCTTAAATATTTTAAATAATATTATTTTTGATTTAATATTAGAAATAATTTTTTTTATAAAATATTTAAATATGAATTCATAATTAATATAAAACATTAATAACAATTTATTTGAAAATACAGTACTTGTAGTTAATATGATGCTTGTTCATTAGAACTTCATCTATGTTGGAAATTAATTTTTCTTGAATATTCTATTGCAGTCTATTTATCCTTTTTCTATAATAAAATTCTTTGTAGTGCATTCAATTATCAAAAATTTCTTTATTTAAAAATAATTCCTTTAAATAATAATAAATCTTATGAATAAAATACATTTATAAAAATACTCATAATACTAACTAAGTAAATAAATTCTTAAAAAACGCCATTTCTAAAGAATTTTATTTTATATCAAAAAAATATAGGTAAACCCAAATTATTAGAAATTAAAATGTAACAAATGAAAAAAATCTAAATATTTACTCATTATATGAAAATCTTCAAATTTTCAAATTCAGTTTCGAACTTTTAATTCAAAATGTTTATTTCAAAAACAGAAAAGCATCTAGATGATTTGTTCTTTGATGAAAATTTATTGTGTTTTCTTGATTATGTCAATTTCATTTCAGTTTTATTTAATTTTATATATTCATCATACGATTATAAATAATATAATAATTATTTAACACATTATATCCATATAGACGGTCTCACATTTATTCCTAAACTATATTCAATTAAATAATTATCTTATTATCAAAAAAATCAATCGTCTAAATTACAATTTTTTTTTTCAAAATTATAAGTAAGAAATAAACTTAACAATATTCGTATTATAGTGTATAAATCTTTAATATGAATTTTTTTTGTTCATATTTACTAAAAAATTAGTTTAATCACACTCATGTAATAAAGCTATTATATAAAAAAAAACTATCAAAAGCCATAGAAAAGAGCTTAAATATTTTAAATATATAAATATTTTATTAATATAAAAAAAAAATAATATTTTGAAATTCAAAAATTTTAATTCGTTTAAAAAACCGAACGAAATCATGAAAAATATCATTAATATAAACAGATGGAAGTATATTGCTAGCAAAATATCACATAATCTATAAAATGCTTTAAAATATCAGAAACAATATCTTGTATTTAAAAAATAAATTCTACGCTCTTCCATTAGTCATTCCCTTATCCATTTTCCTTATTAAAATCTTCCTTAAAGATTATTTTCATTAATAAAAAAAAATTGAAAATATTCTAGAGTTAAATTTTTTATAGAAATTTACAAATACATAGAACAAAACTGAATACAAACGATTAAATTATCAAGTACCAGAGTGAACAATAAGAAAAATTTTTTTACATACATATTTTAAAGATTTTACAAAAAAAAATCCCATTTTATGGAAGGAAAATAAATTTTTATTTTGTAAAAATTCAGCTACAAAATTTTTTTATATTAAAACAATATTCGTAGTGTAGACAAGAACAAAATAAAAATAAAAATTAATTTTTTTACTAAAAGGAAATCAATAAAAATTTATTAGATTTACAAAAACCAAAACTCTATCATTAAAAAAAAAAACAATTATAAATTATCAAAATAAAATCATGCATATTACATATATCTACTATTATTAAAATTTAATTATTTGATATAAAAAAAAAAGCAAAATGAACATATTAACTAAAAACACAATAGGTGTACTATAGATATTAAGTGATAGTATAATAAGAAATTAATATTAAAAAAAAACAATAAAATAAAATAAATATATCTTATGTACATGTATTATATTACCAAATAATAAAAAAAAATTAAAATCAAATTTTTTCCTACATTATTTTTATTATTTTTTTATTTTATCTTTTTTACATTTGTCAGAATGAGGGCAAAAATAAAGAGATTGACACAAAACAGAGAGAATCGGAGAGGTAATGTTGAAGCCCTATACTCCCAAGAGGTATAACAAGGAAAAAAAGGGCTTAAAGTTCTAAAGGAATTTTAAAGTTTTTTTATAACTCCTGCAAAAATATTATAAATTAAAAGAAGAGCATAATAGAAAAATGTTAGACATTGAAGAACTACTCGAGAATGTTACAAATCTGCAAAAGTAATATATGTATTCAATTTTTGGAGATTTGTGCGTGTGAAGACTTCTCAAGATTCAACTTATAGCTTTCAGTGCATGTCTTGCAAAATACAATCTATTCTTTAGCATTGAGTGGATTTTCTATTAAAAAAATATATATATGTAATTCAATTCGTATATGGAAAAGGAGATAAACTATGAATTAATAAATTATTTTGGCGATGCAGAGTTTTATTTTTCCATATCCAAATTTTTTATTGGAAATTGTTTTCCTCAGTTATTTTAAATTCTATGTAAAAACTACTATATGTAAACATATTATTCATGTGCACGTATTAAAGCAATATGTTCTCCATATGCTACAATTTACTTATTCATTCTGCAGTTTACTGCCGATTTAATCAGGGGCCTTACTATGTAATTCGATTTTCGTATTTGCAAGAATAGAAAGGTAATACCGAACAAATTGATTATCCAAATAAGAAAATCATTTCATGAATAGAATTACGTAGTAAAACCTCAGATTTAAAAAAGTTTAAATTTTTCTTTGTAATTTTAAAAATAACAATTTCTCTGACGGTAATTAATGCCATCTGCCAAATTTTAATTTTAGGAAACGACCAGTGTAATATTAATTTGTGCATTTAATTGTTTGATTAAGAACATATAAAGTTTTTAATTAAGCTTTGGAAACACAAGAAAGTTACATTTCTTCATAAATTTCAATATAAGTAAAGATCATATTCCCAAAATGATAATTCTTTCTTGATCAAAGCCAAATAAAACAATGTATGCACAATTGAAATTTTCTTAAATATTTCTGCTGATTGAACGATTTTTTTTTTTCGAAGGAAGGTGCTCTTGTAACAAAAAATATTTAAGTTGGATGTTTCACGAAAAGTTTTGATCTTCACCATAGAGAAAAAAAAGAAACATAGCTTGGTATTCATCCTCCAAAATTTGAATTGAAATAAAAAATTAGTTTAGAAAATTGTATTTTACATTAATCACAGACAAAATTTAGTTGAAACAGTTCAAAATAATATATTTCATATTCATGATGATGACAATCAAATCACCCAGATTTTTTATACAGGCTTCAATCTAGTGAAATTTTTTATTGGCTTGGAACCTATCAATGTACTAGTGTTGTAAGCATATGGAACATTTCCCTTGATTTTTGGACCTTGATTTAAATATATTGAACTTGGCAAAGGCATGCTACAAACTGCTAAACAGTTCACATGATTTAAATTTTCTTTTGAAACAGACGATACTAAATAAATTTTCCTGTTAAGCCTGTCAATTCCTCGCACTATACCTACAAAAGGATTATAAAAATAATTATAATATATACATGCGTAATTATAAATGTATTTTACCAATGCCAAAACATTCCAGAGACCTGTCTTCATTTGTTTGGCAGCACATATACACAAGGTTTGCATTAATAATATCCAAAAATTCTTCTTCTGACAAAATATTGTTATCATTAAAAAATTTATATTTTATGTCATCTATACAGCAACTGAAATTGTTATTATTTAAAATTGCATAAAAGATTTTTCGAAATTGATTTAAAAAACAACAGTGAAAATTTTATTCTTTTAAAATTGTTTAAAAACAAAAATATTACGTGTATTATACAATAAATAACAAACATAAAATAAAGTTTAAGAACTCTTACCACACTGGGTGAACATCCGTTAGCCAGTCAAATTTTTCACCTAAAATAGTTCCAAGCCTCACTATTAACATAGCATATCTACTATCTTTTGAATATAGTTCCCAAATGCGTTTCTTACTATCATTTTTGTTAATCCTTCGGTTTTTAACCGACTTCATACTTGTTATTTCAAATCTTAATTTTTCTAAGTATTGCAAATCTCCGCTGGAAGTTTCTAGTAATAAATTTTCTTTTTTGAAAACGTTCAGAGGAATTCTTTCAAGTACTTCTTTTTCCATTAAAAAATCAAAATTATTAACAATGTTTTCACTTTGCAATTGCAAAATATCTGTTGGTCTGAGATAATGGCACAAAACAGCAATTAATTCACCTCCAAATCCCTTGTTATAACCCATTGTGTTAATAACCCACGGAATATTTTGAAACTCATCTGTATCTCGGCAATATTTTGAAAGATCTTTAATGTTTTGTAAGTATCTCTCAGGAGCTAAAACTACATTCACATCTCCGTAAACAAAAGCTTTATTCGGGTTTAAATTTAAAAAATAGCCTGGCCCCAGAAGTGGACCATTGAGAATAGTTGCACTTATTGTTTGAGGAATGAAAACCTCAGATTGCCCAACGTCTAAGTCAACTAATAGAATTTTTTTGTGTTTTTTTATTTCTTTATTTACGATATATCGCAAAAAAGTAGATTTCCCAACGGATTTACCGCCAATGATCATTAACCTTGTTGTTTTCTCCAAATTAATTGTTTCCCATTTAGGATCAATTATTAATTCGTTTTCATTTTTATTGTTAATAATGCTACGTAAAACAAACTCACTTGTATAGTACGGCCTATCTATTTGCATTGGGTTCATGCTCGGAAATAAATTCTCTTTCATATTCTTTCCAAGAAATTCAATTCTTTTCAGTGAATAATTTTTTTCTAAAAGCAAAATAGCGTCTACTTTTGGATCAAAATTATTTGAAATTTCTGTTATTTCAGAACTTAACAAATTATCTTTGAATTTCTTTAAACATTCCATTACATCGATATTTGAATTACTTTTGCATGTCCTAATGTTTAAAAAACTGTATCCTTTAGGAGAATATAAGTATACATATTCATTTATGGACGGCTTATAACCAAAAATTTCAACTGATCCAGCAAGTAACTGAAGTTTTAATGTTCCATAAAGGTGGATTTTTTCTTTTAATAAAACCACTACTTGTCTGGAATCTAATCCATTGTAAAATTTTGACTTAAAATGTTCAATAGGATTCGGTTCATTAGCGAATTCTGCATTTGGCTCAGTTTCATTAAATGATGTAACGATGTGGATGTTTGAATTCGGGGATCGATGGTCATCAGTATTTGCTAAAATATTTTCCACAACACATGGTTCAGTCTTTACAAAGTAGTTTGTTTCATTAAAATCTAGAAAAATGTTTTCATCTTCAATATTCCTATTATTCAATTCAAAAATTTCTGGTAGCATTTTAGAAGCCATTTCTTTTACATGATTTTCCGTTTTTATGGAACACAAAGAACCTTTTGTTAATTCACTATATTCGCTGCAGCAATCTGAAATCTCTTCAAGAGTCGATTCAGATGCAGATTCATCAATACTGGAAAAATTGCATTCCCCATTTCCGTTTGGAATTCCGCCATAATTGATTGGAACTAATTGAGGGCAACTACTGTCACTATCTCCATTCATTTCTACTTTATTTTTTGAGTTAAATATACTAGGCTTTTCCGCCTTACGTACAGTATCATTTTCAATATCCTTTATGTCGGCTGACTCTTGAGGAATCTCTATAATTTGGGGGTCGCTTATATCACTATCAAAATCCACCTCCAAGTTTTCATCAAAATCGTATTTTGTGGCAATACCATGAGGAATATACAAATCTTCTTCACTTTCTGGTAGTTCATAATCCTCATCATTGGACTCACTATCAAAATTATACCTCATTTTATTCCTAAATTCTTCGTCAGAGTTTTCCTCGTATTCCGTGGAATCATCGCTAAATGTATCCTCTTCTACATAAATAAGGATTTGAGTTACATAAAAACAAACAAAAATAGAATGTGAAAAAAAAGTGTTGCTTATTAAATTTACCATCGTATTCGGAATCAGAAAATGATTCGGCTAGTGTTTCTTCTTCCGTGCTTAAGAAGCTCTCTTCTGAGTAAGAAAAATCTAGACACAAATAAAAGTAAATCAAAATTTTGTTTTAAATAATGAAAAAAATTACCATCGTATTCGGAACTACACAACGATTCATCTTGTACTACTTCCTCACTGAATGTATCATTAAAGGAAAAATTTTTCAGTTTCTTATTCGAAGCAAAACTTGAATTTTCAATATCTCTCCCAGATTTTGAACCATTTTCCTTTACAACGCCATTATATTGTTTTTTCATTTTATTTTTTTTGTTCGTAGAATTTTTGTAACAAGTTGTTTTATTATTTTTTTCTGTTGCGTTATTTGTTTGCTCCATTTTACTCTTAGTTTTCTTAAATTTTGATTTGTCTTTTTCCTTTGAATCAAGGCTTTGACCCCCATTTCCTAAATTTTTCTCTTTTTGCGGCTTTTTGTTTGGTCTTTCAACATGATGATGTTCTTTTTTGCTTTGTTTTTGTGATTTTAAGAGAATGTTTTCGCCAGCCTTTGAATGTAAATCACGCTTCTTTTCGTTACTTGGATTTCCTTTAAATTCATTTTTTGGTTTATTTATTTTTGCTTTCTTAGTATTTGTGCCTTCGAACTCTGTATTTTTAACACACTTGCTACTTTTTTTATTTTTTCGTTCTTCTCCTATTTGAATAGTATCAAGCATTTGTTTTAAGCTGCTTTTGGAATGTTCATTTTCATGACAAACATTTGATTCACATGGGGAACGTAATTTCGGCTTTTTGGTTTCTACAGGAACAAATTTTTTTTTCAAGTCTTCTTGTATTTTTCTTTTCTTTTTAACCATTTTTTGTGACGTGTTTAATACGTAACCAGTGGCAATAGGCCCTTGTACGCATTTTTCTATTCCACTGCAATCATCTTCTTCCTTCGACACAAAAATATTTCTTTTATTTAATACTTTTTTTGAATTTTCATTAGCATTATTAGTGCTTTCAAGATTTTTCGGTTTCAGTTTTATTTTCGATTTTCTATTTTCTTTCCCATTCAAAATTTCTTTATTTATCACTTTTTTTTTCATAGTAGTCTCCTTCAATTTAAAATCTTTATCCAGCCTGTATTCATTCAAAATCTCCGATTCTACCGTACTAGTCGATGAATTTGCTTCAGGATTTCCAATTAAATCATTTGCAAATAATTTTTTTAACCGCTGTTTTAAGTTTTTTTCATATTTTTCTTTGTTTGAAGAAATTTTGCCTTTAGAAAACATTTTACTATTTGAGTTAACAAAACAAATATATCTTAAGTAGTATAAAATGCAAAGACCACTAAAAAACGCAATTAATATTTAATTTTTCACACAGTTTGTTTTTTTATTTTTCAAAAATACACGTGCGAATCAATTTTGACAATATTTAACAGAGGTAAGTTCAGAGATGCCAACTCATAGCAATAATCTTCTTTATAACGAGGTATTGTTGCATGATTTCTTACAAAATGAGAATAAATATTATGCTAGAAAGACCTAAAACAGAAAAGTGGCAGGGAATTTAGTCATTCAGCTACATTACAGTGCTCACACAAAAAATGTTGTAGATTCAATAACCAACCTAATCATGTTAAGACAATTTTCTTGCCTTTATTCTTTGATTTTGCAGGAATTCAGGAGATTTGCAACCATTGTATTTATCTTTGTTTCTTTTTCATTTCCCTTGGGAACATAGGATTCAACAAAGTATTCTCAATTTTCTTTATTTGTTACTAGTATGTTTATTTCACTCCATGTTTTGCCTGGTAGTTGTGTTCTAGGTCTATGAGCACTTTTGTTCAAGTTTTCTTACCTTTCTTTACATTTCTTCGTCCTTGAGAGTTGAGCTTAAGAATTTGATGCGCAACTCTTTGTGCATTTGTGCAATTGTGTTTCTTTGAGATCTTGTTTCATCGTCATCATCCACTGCTTCTGTCTTAAAATTCTTCTTAGTCAAAATATTTTGCATATAATTTAAAAGCATTTTTTAACAAAGAACTGTTTCAACGTGTATGTGTTATAGGAGTTCCCTAAAACACACTCATTTCAATTTGATTTTCAAAAGATTCAAATTAATTTTTATATTTCATCGTGGGTTCATTAGGATTTCAAACATTTTTATGCTTTTTTTCTCTTTATTTTGACTTTTTTTTGACAAGCTGTATAAAAACTGTGAATATGAATTTGTTATGAAAACTTCAAAAACTTCAGTACTACAGTTGAAGTTGATTCAACTTTTTCAGAGAGAAAAAATGCTGCGCAGAAAATATGCAAAATGTGAGAATTTTAAAGTTTCGCACATAAAATATATGTGCGTGCGTTATTTCGGTGAAAATTAGATGAGCTAATAAATTCGCCTTGAGTATGAACTTTTCTACAGTTCATAATTTTCCGTAAAGACTCGTTTATAATTAAGCCATCAAACAAAAGAGATGATATTATAATAAAAATCAAGTAAAAATTGTTCAATATCTAACAATTACGAGTATATTGAAAAATTGCATATCCATGACTTTTCAATTGTTAAATTTCCTGTAAACACTGTTTGACATCAGACTTTGTGACACGCCAAATAATAGAAATTACTTTATTCTTATCAAACTTTAATTTCAAATTAATCAGCAATTAATTTTTTGCGGAATTTTGGAAGAGCAATTATCTGATTTTTATTTCAATTATTTTCGTATCAAAATTAATATATTTTTTTATTTGATCATATTAAGTCTAACGCTCGTCAGGAAATGTCAGTATAATATATAAACAGTTGTCAGAATTTTTGTATATTTTAATCTTAAATTTTTTTTGTATATTTAAATAATAACTAAGATTTACTAAACTAATAATTAAGACTTCTAAAAACGAAACGTTTTTTAAAAAATGGTTTATCTGTCGTTGTATAATTTTACTTATGCCTTTTTACAAAAATAAACTTATAAAATCGAGAATTTGACAAAATGTTAAATGTGTAGTTTCAGTATTTTCAAGTTTAAGACGCCATTATGCAGATACGTCAGTATATTATTTAAAAATTTATATACGCAAATAGCTTTAATTTGTTAACAAGGAAAAAAATAATTTATTTATTTTTAAATATATATTTTTTTAAAGAAAATTAATATAATATATTTTGCATATTGACAATTATTAACAAAATAATGAAAAAAGATGAAAATCGCTTGTACGCCTTGTCAATTCTTAAATTTTAAAAGTCGCGTATTTCCGTATCTCTCATTGGAATATAATTTTTTGACGGAAGTTGCAATGTACGCTATGTGGATGTTACGATTGATGTATAACAACATTATACAACATTACACTCAATGTTTGATGTATAACAACATTATGGTTTTTGTTTTCAATATTCAATCATTACAATTCCGCGATCAATATTTCATGTCTATACACCGTTAAAAAATCATTTTTGCTTCAAACCATAGCAAACAAGTAATGCTGCATGATATGTATAATGTCAATTGAGTTAAGATCGAAATTCTCAATTGTTAAATTAAATTTGTCATTGTCATGTCATGTCAATTAATTCAGTAGCTTTAGATCAATTTTAAGATATTAGTGTTGCGCTATAAAACGGGACGTAAATAGAAAACTTGTAATTAAATAAAAAGAAAAAAGAAATCTATTAAATAAATAGATATAAATATTTTGTGGCTTATTTACAAATAATAACCAATAAAAAAAAAATATAAAAAATTTAATATTAGACTTGCATGCGGTGAAAGAAGCTAAGTAATGTGGTGTTTTTCATGCGTCTCAAATTCAACTAACACAGGTGAAAAGCAATTATTAATATGTAATTTAATTTGTGCAAGAATAACTTATAAAAATTGTGTTGCTTTCTTTAACAAACTAGAAAATTAATTATTGCCCAATTAAAATTGGACCAAAATAATAGAAGTAGCAAATTCTAATTATAGATTTACGTATTAGTTTTAGATTGATTCAGCAATTGGGTATATGTTGGGGTTTTTTATGTAATGTTTACGTCTTGTTTGAAAATATGAGATGAAAACTAATAGCAAATATTCGTAGAAGAAAGTATTACAAGGAAACATGAAAATTTATCTTTTTAATGGATGTTTCTTGTTATTCTCAAACGGAAAAAAATGAAAAATGTCTAATATATACATTTGTATATGAATTTCATATGCCTACACCTTTTAGAAATATATATATACACATTTAATTACAATACATAATATATTTTATATTATGTATTGAATGTACAAAAATCACAATATCATAGTGCAAATTTATAATAAAGAAATAATTAATAACCCTATCGTTTAACCTTTTATGAGTCACATACGTGGTACATTCCATTATTGATTTAAAATATGGGTTTTTCAGTGAATTTTTTTATCCTAAATCATTTGTGGACTAAAAGATTTTAAAAGTGTGATAGATACCTACATAATGTTTAGGTTTGAAATTCTTACGATAGGTACCTACCTACTCCAATTTGAATGAAGGTACATTTTGAAGTAAGAAACTAGGTTAAAAAAATTAGTCACATAGAAGGTGTAAGGATTTACAAGTTTTGTTAATTTAAAAAATATTTTACAAAAAAATTATTACTTTACAAAATAGTAAAAATTTCTTAGGCTACTATAACGAATACCTGCCTACATAATTTAATGGATATTAAAATGATTTTTTTGTTATTTTGTAAACTTATTGGTTTAAGTACTTTACTTTCTGATTCGTTCATAAAAGTGAATCTTTAAAATAATTTATATATATGAGGTTATAAAGATAATTTTTAAATTAACTTAAGAAGCTGAAGTTGTATTCAAATTCTTTAGTTAATTTTAAATTAATATTACTTATGCTTTTGTAGAATTCTGCCCTCACAATAATTGCCTTGATTCATGAACTGAATTCTTATGTTATCTTTTGCATTGTTAATCCAATTATAAAAACTGTCGCCTGTAATTTTTTTTTATTTTTCATTTTAGTTCATTGTAATTCTTATTATTTCTTTTTTTTTTTTTGAATAAAGTCTGGTGTACGAAATGTTATTTTAAAGTGCAATTTATTTAAAATGAAATAAAACACATAATGTAAAATATGTTCTTAAGATAGGTTCCAAAATAAAATTCTAAAGTTTTTATTAAAAATTTAAGCGAAAACCATTTTTTAAATATCATGGTTTTTTTAACGTGTGTGAAGTTCAGGAATACTTGATCTTTAAAGAAAACTCTGGTGAAAATAATTGGTTAGACAAGAAAATCTCCAAGTATATACATATTGGCTTTTCCCATGAAAGTACTAGATAGGTGTCTGCTTTCCTTTAATATAATTAAGGAACGATAATTATCCTTAAAATATAATGTCCATACTCAAAGCACTTCTTCAGTTTAATTTCCGTATGAATACCTGCTGTTGTTGCTAACAGTGTTTTCTAATATTCCAAATTAAACTGTAAAATAACATTTAATTTCTACATAAATTTTCATATGTTAATACCAAGATCCACATATTTGAGTTCTCACTTTAAGTAAGCAGGTAGCATCTAGTTATAATTTACTTAGTATAATAGATTACCACCCAATTATTGGTTATCATAATAGGAAAAGTTAAAAAAATAAGTTTTCAAACTAGATAGAATGAACTTAATGATTAATTGGTATTCTTGGCTTTTTATTCGATTTTACCGAAGTCTTTCCTTTTTTCTTAAAATATTAAATAAGATTTATTTACTAAACTTATTTTATGCTTGTGAATTTTGATGATTTTACTAAAATTAGGATTAAATAGACTTTTTGTTTTATTACTCAGAGTTTTCATATATTTTACCGTTTGATAATAAAAATATTAAAAATTATTTAATTTTGAATTTAAAATGGTAAATATTATACCCATATAAGTGCGTTTTTTAATTCTATTATTCCCATTTATTTGTTGGAGCATGCGCTATTTAACATAGTTTTATGAATACGCAGTGAAATATGATAGCTCTCTTCAACTGACTTAAACAAAACATTTAACTAATAAAACATTTTACAGACATTCCGTTTTAAACATACATACATGTTGCAAGCAGTATGAAACTGTATTGTATTACGGTACATACTTTGCAATATCTGTTAGATGAATGAAAAAAATTAATTTTTTGTTTGATGAATATCATATTAAATGTATTTACAAAGAAAAATATAAAAACGATTTCTTACTTAAAACGCATTTTTATAATACATAAAAATGCGTTTTGAATACTTTGAAAACTATAACTTCTACCAATCACTAAAGCAAAATTTATTAACATAGCTCTAACAACAAAAATGATTTCATTTAACATAAAGTAGGTTCCTACCCACATGTATTTATTGGCAATTATTGGGTTTTTTAATGCATCCATTCTTATTATGTGCTCACTAATTATATTAAATTTTCATTTTTGCACTGAATATGGATTAAAAGTGAGACATGATATAAAATCCACTTAAGATATACATCCCTTGTTATTGCAGTACATTAAAGAGCATGGCTTTATACCAACGATTATTCTTCTTCTTCTTATTCCTCTCCCCTGTGGAGGTTGGCAACCAACAATTCTGCAGTTTCCCTGCATTTAGCTTTCCGCATAACATCGACGCTTGTAGTTCCGCACCATTCTGCCAAGTTCTTCAGCCATGTTTTTCTGCCCCTGCCTCTGCTTCTTTTACCAATTATTTTTCCCTGAAGTGTAAGCTGCAAGAGTCACCGTTTAATAACTTCACCGTTTATTTTTACACCTATGACTGTATTTTCAAACGTGTTGTAAAATATTTCCTCTGAATAAATGTTGAACAGAACCGGTGACAAGATGCATCCTTGTCTGACGCCCCTCTTTATTTCTATTTCTTCCGTTGATCCATCTGAGGTTTTGACAATCGCTTTCTGGTTGAAGTATAAGAATTCTATAATTTTTATTTCATTTTTCGGTAGTCCTTTCTTCTCTAATATTTCAATCAGCTTATTATGTTTGACTTTGTCGAATGCTTTTTCAAAATCAATAAAGCACAGATGTAAGGGTGAATTCATTTCTTTGAATCTTTGGTTTATTGTATTTATCATTAACAAAGCTTCCCTTGTGCCCAAGTTGTTCCTAAAACCGAATTGTGAGTCCTGTATGTCGTTTTCCAGAACCCGGTATATTCTGTTATGAATAATTTTCAGGAACAATTTCAGGCAGTGACTCATTAGGCTTATAATTCTGTATTCCCCACACTCTGTGGCGTTGCTCTTCTTTGGAAGCGTTATGAATGTTGATCTTAGCCATTCCCTGGGTATAACGCCTGTTTTATATATTTTGTTGAAAAATGTCGTCAAAGTTTTTAAAGCTTCATCATCTAACAGTTTCAAAATTTCATTAGGAATCTCATCTGGACCAGGAGCGGAGCGATTTTTTGAGTTTTTCAAAGCTTTTTTGACCTCGCTTAATATGATACTGGGGCCTTCTTCTGTTATATTACATGTATTATCTAGTCTTGAATCGTCAAACAAATCCTTTACGTACTCACTCCATCTTGCAAGTCTTTCTTTTGGTTGAAGCAGTATTTTTCCATTTTGGCATTCGATATTCCCGTTGTTATTTTTTTTCTTGCTTTGTGTGACTTCTTTAACTTTTTTGTGTAACATAAAAGAGTTGTTGTTGTGATCTAGGCTAGCTATAGTTTCACATTCGTTGTTCCAGAAGTTAGATTTAGCAATTTTAATTTTGTTTTTTATCATTTTGTTGATTGCCTTGTATTTTTCTGAATTTTTGTTTTTATATGATCTTCTGTCGTTCATTAAGCTTAAAATCTCTTCGGTCATCCAAGTTTTTTTTGGCTGGAGTTGATTATTGGCCTTTAAAATGTTTAACGTACTATTCAGCGGATATTTAAGCTTGTTCCAAATCTTATCAATATCTTCTTCGCTTCTTAGTTCTATTGCTTGTTCTGCGACTTTTTGGTTTAGATAGTTTTTTATTTCATTTCGCGTTTCTTATGCTTCTAGTAGGTTAAAGTTCGGTTTACTGTTGTGCTTTTTCTTCAACATTTTCTTCAACGAATTTTTCACTTTGACCGCTATTGGATTGTGGTCAGAGCCTATATCTGCACCAGGATAAGTCTTTGCACCTTTGATTGCGTTTCTAAATCTTGCATTTACTAAAACGAAATCTATTTGATTTGTAATTATTCGATTTACCTCATTTCGGGATGCTGTCCAAGTGTACAGCCTCCTGTCCGGCAATTTGAACCACGTATTTGCAATAACCAGATTATTCAGCGTGCAGAATTCTATCAATCTGTTGCCTCTTTTGTTTCTATTACCCAAACCATATTCGCCCACAATATCTAATACCTTTCCTTTACCCACTTTGGCGTTAAAATCTCCCATTATTAATGTTGTGTCATCTTTTTTAGTAAGTGCTAGTACTTCTTCTAGATCAGCGTAGAATTCTTCGCAGACGTCGTCTTCACTATCCGCAGTAGGCGCATATATCTGTATTACATTCATGATTCCTGATTTTGTCTTCATATTTACCATTATAATTCTTTCAGACTTTTTTATTATACAATTTATAGAAGACCTCAAGAAACCGTTCATTAAAATTCCTACTCCTTTTCTACTTTGTTGATCGACGTTTACACCAGAATACACAAAATAATTGTTGTTTTTGGTCGTTATTTCTCCGCATCCTTTCCAGTGAGTTTCACTAATACCTATTATATCCATTTTCAGTCTCTTCATTTCCATTTCCAGATTTTCCAGTTTACCATCTTGGAGTAGACCTTGAACATTCCATGTAGCTAATTTTAAAGTTTGATTTTTTTTTGTTTTCTATTTCGATGTTTTTTGAATTTGTTGGTTTTTTACTAGGGAGTTTACTTATGAGGTGGTTTCCCGTTGCCTTCCTCATATCCTTTATATATTTTTTATTCTAATCGTTTATCCTTTTCTTGCCTTGGTCGTATCTAAAGTATCCTATTAGCGTTGCGATGTGGTTATTTTATTTCAGATTCATTATTTCTCTCGCTTTCACTTATATCCTTATTCTTTTCTTTTTGTATTTTGCTTTTTGGAGTTCCGTTATTTTTCAAATCGTCAGGTCTCAATCTTTTTTGTTGATCTTTATTCAGGGAAATCTCTTTTAGATCAACTTTTTTGCCCTCTAGTATTAAACCGTCTCGCTTTATTTCTACTTTTTTCCCTTCTGCTTCAAGTTTTTTTTTTCGCTTCAACTAATTTTGCCCGATTCGCTCTTTGAATTGCAGTATACGAGTAGTAACCTTTTATGTAGAAATTGCTACCTTCCAAACTTTCAACGATTCAAACAAACCAACCAACGATTATAAAGGCGATATAATTTTATTGTATTCCATTATGTATAAGCCAAAAATTTTTATCAAGTAAAAGTTTTCTGAAAATTTATCAAAATCAGTGAATTTCGGACACTGTTGAGTTTTGACACCTACGTAGTTCTAATCAAAAATTGAATTTTTAATCAGTATTTAGACACTTTTTATCAATATTTATTATCGGAAAATAAATATTAATATACGCATAATACTTGGCAAAGTTGTACAATAACCTATTTGTTTTATATTCTTAGGCGTCATCCTAAAAAAATATCTTATAATATCTTATAAATTTGTTTACATTTTCAGTTTAATATATACATATATATATATATATATATATATATATATATATATATATATATGTATAAAAATAGTTAATAATATATATGTAGGAATAATAGAGGAATAAGGCTTTGAATAAGTAATAGTTTTAATCAAATCAGGGATAAATGGATCATTGAATGTATTTTGCGCGATTAAGATGTTTTATAAGTTAGATCACAAAATTAGTTTAATCAGTATCAATAACATAAAAAGTTTATTTCTCTATCAGTTTATTAAATCGGTTTATTTCTCTATAAATAACTATTATTCGTATAATCATGTTTTGAAAAAGAAAAAGTTTGTATTTTCTTTATTGATTAGAGCTTTAAAAAAGAAAATTTCCCTATTGTCCCGAACATAAAGATTGAATTTAAGACTATGTAATTATAGGAAATTTTTTGATTAACTTAGTCCTCTACGGAAATTCGAATTGCATGTTTCATAAGGTGGGCAAATGTGTTACTTCAAAGAAGAAGTATTTTTGATGCTTTCGTCTAAATGTTATGATAGGAATTAGGAACTAGGATTAAAATAATTAAAATTTTTAAAACTGATTTTTATAATAGTAAACAGTTTTTGATCTGGCACCCCAACGTATTAAGTACAGGCTTTGTGTAATGAGGAGCTCTTTATAGTGAATGTCTTGTGTGTACAATAAAAATTAGGCTTATTTTGAGAAGTCAATCACTAAGTGATAGTGATATTTATTGTAAAAATTTAAAAAAAAAAATGTTATAGACATAAATTTCTTGTATATTTGTGTTTGTTGTAGTAAAATCGATTTTTTTTCAAAAGTGGCACTCATCCTGATATTTTTAAGTAATAATATTCTTACTAAAACCGAAATTGTTTGACGAATTGTCAAGAGTTGACAAGTTGGACAAAATGTTTTTGAAGACATTGTTTTATTACTGTTTGTTTTTGCTTCTTTAATAAAGCTAAATCTATGAAAAAACGGAATGGAGCATACACTTTTTGTCTCAAACTCCACCAATCTTTGAGTGTCCCTCGAAATAATTAACGGTTCGAAATCACATTCTTTTATTTTCAATTATGAGCTTCTGAATATGAAAGATTTTTAAAATATTTTTAGAGCAACGGTAATAATAAGATAGTTTTATGTAAAACTGCGTGGATTCTTTGGATAAGACATAACTTTTTACAAACATATTCATCCACATTTTGGTAGTGGCATCGCATACAAATACCGCATGAAGTGATGCCATCACGTCTAAGTCTTTTTCTGGTAATCTTAGACGTCATAGTTAAAGTGATACCAACTTTAAACCGATAGCAACTGTCAAAATTTTTCACACGTCGTGATATTACGGGATGATAAAGGTTTTATCGGGTTTGTACATATTTGTCATGCCGAGGATTTTGATTCTACATTTCGCTAATTATTGCTTTGAAACTATGTTTGTTTTTGTTTATATTAAAAACATGCGCATAACTAAAATATTTTTCGTGTTCAGTTTTCAATTTTTCTGACATTACGTCACATTAACATGCTCCCAACCTAAAAACGTTTTTTCGCTCCTACAGGAACAATTGAAAGAAGATATGTTTCAGGTGAAACGACGTGATAAATTTGAAAAACTTCCTTTTCACGTATTATTTTAAATTTTTCTGACATCACGTCAACTGCTAATACTACCAATCTAAAAACATTTTATCGCTCCTACAGGAGCGATTGATTGAAAGGAATGTTTGAGGTGACGCTACGTGATAGATTTTTTTTTATCATGTCAGTGACGCAAAGGCAAATCGCATTTGTAAAAGAACTAAAAATAAGAAATAATTTGAATATGTAAAACTCAAACTAAAAATTTAAAAAAGTAGTATTTTTAAAAGAATTTGAAAACGGTCAAAAAGCAACAAGCACAAAAATTAATGAAGTTTTTCTGATTTTTATATAATGTTATAACATAACTGTTAATTTGAATTTGTTTTTACTACAGTTTTTAATAAAATCATTTTATCACTGTAGCTATAAAAAGTTAAAATCAATTCTTAATATATAATAAACGAAATACAATTATATAAGAAACTACAAGATAATTTAAAATTAACTTAATCTATATTTAAAAAATAAAATTTTTAGCAAAAACTGAGAAAAAAAAAATTCAGTTTATTGGGTTAAATTAAAAATTACTGGGAATCTGTTTTGACAGATGAAAAAATGTCAATGTCGATGCTATTAATAAATATCCTTCAAATGTGACGGTTGAGTTAAATAGTTTAACTACCAGCCGACTTGATTTTTGATGGTCATCAACTTGTTAAGTCAAAAATTTTGGTCGCCATCTTGCTTACATTCGTTTAAAAGAAAAGAAAAGGCGTTGGTTGTTTTCACCTTATCGGAATTTATCCTATTTATTTTACATCTCTTTTTATATAAATTTAAATTGAAATTCGTAAAAATTCCAAGGAATAATAAAGGTGAATAATAGACATTGTTAAAAACCATGTGATTTATAAATTTTAAGAAGGTTTTATATATGTATCTTTATCTTTTATGAAAGAACTAAAAGAAAAGATATGTAGTGAGATGTGCTCAAAAAGGAAAACTAGTATTAGCATAATAATAGAAATAATTTTCTTACGGAAATAATATATTGCAGAAAAGAATAATTTTATGAATCAATTTTTCCAAATTAAAGCTTTTAAAAATTGATTTATATTATTTTTTAATTTTTTTTTTTTATATTTTTGATCAGAAACAATGGCGGCTATCCGCAAAAAACTGGTGATTGTAGGTGATGGTGCTTGTGGTAAGACATGTCTCTTGATTGTCTTCAGTAAAGATCAATTTCCAGAAGTCTATGTACCAACGGTTTTTGAAAATTATGTAGCAGATATAGAGGTCGATGGTAAACAGGTAAGAGATTTAATTCTAGTATGTTTTAGTTTTCTTTGGGTGTAATTTAGTGTATTGTGGTTTGTAAAGGCACCATATTCATATACCAATTCTAATTCATTAATCTCAGTAGAAAGTTGAAACATTAAATTAAAAATATTACTTTATAAAACAAAGTCTATAAGAGGAGTAAATTTTAATTTGTGAGTTAAATCAAATACAAAAAATTTGGTTGAAGTTACGGAAATACCTTTTCTCATATGCTTGCCTGCATATTCAAAAAAAAAATTTACAAGTTGAACAAATAATTTCCAATAAATTCATATTATTTGGAACAAAAATAATTCAAAATGTACATATAATTACGCTTAATTTTTATTGCTTTTATATGTTTCTTTAGAAATGCATACTTATTTTTAGAATTGATGTAAGGAAATATACACATATTTATATTCATTATGTAGATACAGTACATATCTTAAGATTTATAGTTATAGGTAGGTACATATGTACATGTATAACACATCTAATTTTTTTTTACTAACTTTTCTAGTCGTCTCGAACACAAAATGTTGCACGTTTAATTTAGTTTTAAAATTAATTTAACAGCAATCTTAAGTAATGTATGTCTTTATTAAAATATTATTTCCTAAAAGAATTTTCAAGTCCTTTGATTATGTACAAGTATGAAAATTAAATGGTGCATTTGGTTTTTATTGTAAAATATCCTTAATTTTCTAAATTGGTACCTATTTAAATTGAAATTTATTGAATTTAAACATATGTACGCATCAACATCATATACCTATATACATACATTAACACATAATAAAAATTTAAAAAGGTTTTTCTTTTCGTTTGAATTCTATTATTATGAAGTGACGTCAGGTTAAAATCAACAGGTTTGAAATAAGACGATTAAAATACTTTATAGTTTAAGACAATTGTGACAATAAAATTATGAATTGTTTAAAGAATTAAATTTAAACATTTTATTTTTTTTACACTATATTTTGGAATTCCCTTGTTGACTTTGTTTTTAAGCGTTATTGTAAGCTGATTAGGAACTAGGGGCTCCCTCCTATGTGATTTGTAATATAAAGTGTAATACAGAATGCATAATTTTTCATTTATTCTTGCAGAAATCTTTAACAGGTTATAAAAAATTTTTTATTGCTTTATCGGTATGAAAGGTGCTTTGAGTGAGCATTAAAACAGCAAGTTTTTTACTGCTTATAGGTTTTAATCTTTTTTTATTTTTTTGGCATGAAAATTGGAATTTGAATATAATATGGCTCTATTACGATTTCATCGATTTTGAACTATAGCTTGCTTCAGATATTGCAGTTACTTACTCAAATTTACTTTTTTTGTCGTTTTAAGTACATACTTATAATTGTATATCATAAATATAAAAATTTCAACTTTTTGATTATAATATAAATTTTTATCATCTCCGTCGAAACAAATATTGTTGACAGCGAAGCTATTTAGTTTTTTTTTCCTTTTATATGGAAAATATTCCATATGACACATTAGAAGTTGGTCAGAAAAATTTGGTATTAACTCATTCTTTAAACTTTAGTTTTAAGAATTTGAAGTGATAACTACAAAGAAATTTTTAAAATTACGTTAGTAAAATATATTTTTTTTGTTATTAATCCTTAAACTTTTAACACGACTTACGTGTTGAACTGTATGTTGCAGTTTTTTTTCTGCAAAAAAAGATTCAAGAATGTAAGTAATTGGATTTGTGTTTGATACGTTGTTCATGGTGGTAGACACATAATAGCTTGAAATAATTAAATTACATGAAATTCGGAGCGCATTTTCAAGACGATTTCAAAATTTTTAAAATTAAATTTTATAAACATAAACTTGTTTATGGAAATTCAAAATTTAAAAAAAAAAAATATATATTCCACACTGAGAAAATTATATTTCCCGAATGTATCTGACAGTTTTATTTAATTTTTGTTCAGTGTGTTATAATGAGTCATACTAAATGGTATGTGAAATTCCAAGAAATATTTTTATTTTCTTATAAAGGTAGACATCATTTTTTTTTGTCTTTTTTTACTTTGTATATTGTTGTTTTTCTTTCTTGTTTTAAATAATATGTAACTATAATTTTTAATTCCAAAAGAGTAAAAAAAATAATAACAATTTTTGTTTTGAACGTATGAAAAGAAACATTCAAATGAAGAAAAAATAATAAAAATACGAAAATAAAAAAAAATTAAATTGGAAGAAAACACTTTTCTTTGTTAAAAAAGTAAAAAAATAAAAACTAGAGGCTGCAAGAATATTGTATCTCTACGTATGTTTGTACACTTTATTTATTTTTATACAATATCTATAGAACTCATCTACGTTTATATATTAACATTTAGGTAGGTATTGTATATGTTTAGTATAATATATTTCCATATAATTTTCAATAATAATTAAAAGCTTATTAAATATATAATGGAATGCGCATTTTAAAAATTTATGCTTTACTTCATTTTTCTTCTTTTTTTTGTGTACGGGAAATTTTAAGATTGTAAAGATAAATTTTTAAACAAAACAAAAAATACGTACAAATATACCTATATATATATATGTATATCAAAAGAAATACATATACTATTAAATAAATTTCTTGTTAATTTTTTTTCTTATAAATTGCTCACGTCTTCTGATTGATTTGTAATTTCATAAAAATTAGTTTAAAAATAAATAAAAAAAAAGCAATTTTTATATTTGCGTTTCAGTTTTGTAGCTATTTTTTTTTTTCATTTTGGAATTTTTACTAATAAATTCAAAATTTTCGGTTCTTAAAAATGTTTAAAAACTATTTCGGATTTTCCTATTGGTAGGAAGGAATACCTAACTAACAATTTGTTGGCATTTATTTTATGAGAAATTCAAAATTCATTCGAAATATTTATTTATGTGTTTATAAATGTGTATTTGTGAAAATATAATTTTTTAATTTATTTAATAATTTTGATGTTATGTTTTTCACATTCTTTCTCAAGAAATTGGTTAGGGGCGCGTGATGTACATTTATCTATTAATATTTACAAAATTTAATTTAAAATTTGATCACTTTTTAATAACTATCCATTTATTATTATTTATTTGGTTTTAGTGTTTTTGGATTTGAAAATGAAATTAAAAAAGAAAATTCTTAAAATTATTGTTAACTTCTCTTTCGAATGAATGGTTTTTGATTTCAAGATCCATTCAATTGATTTCAAAATGATTTGGTTGATTTTCAATAAGTTCTAAGCTTAAAAAATCTGCCTATATCTTTTTAAATTTAAATTGAAAGCATATTAATATTTGTTAATTGCATATTTACATATTAATATTTTGCTTTTAAGGATTATAAGCACATAGTTTGTTTTTAAATTTTGCTCAAAAACCCCATTAAAATAAAATTTTTGTGGTTTATTTATTCTTTTTCCATTTTTCTTCTTAATTAAAAATCTTAATTTTAAACACATAAGGTTTTCATTTATTTTTACCTACCTATGTATGACTCAAATTTATTAAAATTCAATGAAGTTGTATTTAACTTATGATGTAATCAATTTTTAATTTATAAAAAGTAAAGAGAAGCAAAGAAAAAATAATGATTTTGTTTTAAATTAATTATTAACAACAACAAATTATTTTTTATCAATATTGATTATCGGAATTTGTAAAAATGATGATCGCTTATTTTATAATATTAACTTACTTAATTTATATTCTAAAATAATTCAATTTGAGTGAAATGAAATTAATTTTAAAAGAAATAAAATATAAATGAAGTAAGAATAATTTACAAACCAATCTGTTCAAATTTTTTTTCAGAAAAACTAAAATGAAATCAGTTTCTTTAATCAAATAATGTTAAAAAAGATTTTACTGTATTGAATCATACATTATTTATTTTTATTTTTTTTTTGCTATTTTTTAAGTAGTTATATCTTTTGCTTGATTAAATTTTTTGATAAAACTTCTAATTGAAAAATTGGTTTGCGTTAACATATATACGTGCGGTAAGAGTGGTGTTGTCTTATCATTGTTCAAACTGAAACACTTCTAGAATGAATACAAAAACATTACAAATAGAATGGTACTTGTTTTATATGTGTAGGTGATTATTAAAATTTATTGTACTTAATATTCGTCGAACAAAAAAATAGCTAGTATATTATTTACATTTTCTTAAAATAATAGTTTTGTATTTGCAGACTATTATAAAGTTTTTGACAAATTAAGCAGGCAAATTAAACGACAGAATGTGCCAGGTTTTTCCGATCCCTTACTTTTCAGACAATATGTAAGAATTCCTAGATTTTTAAGATTTTTTTAATTCAATTCTATAGCTGGAAATAATATATTCACTGAGTTTTCTTTTATTCGTATTAGAAAACTTTCGTTCTAATAGTAAATGTTTTAGTTTATAGGTGGATAGCAATTGTTATATTAAAATATACTTTTAATTGTTTTTGTTATATTTTATGAAGGAACTTTTTGCTTGAAAATGCTCTCAAATTTTAAAGTTGCAAAATTGAGAATAATTGCACATAATTTTGACACATTTTGCAAAATCAAAACTCGGTTATAACTTTTTCTGTTTGTTAGTTTTGAATATATGGATATACCGTGCATATGTATAAGGTGAAACAGCAAAATATCTAAGCTGACTCTTTTTCGAAAACGCCTTATTACATAAATTATTCTAAAATTTTTTTTTAAACATTTTTTTACTTTTACGCATTACTACAAATGAGTGTTAATTTTGTTTTTTTTTTTTTTTAGGTGGAGTTAGCGTTATGGGATACAGCCGGTCAAGAAGACTACGATAGGCTTAGACCTTTAAGTTATCCTGATACAGATGTAATTTTGATGTGCTTTTCAGTCGATTCGCCCGACTCATTAGAAAATATACCAGAAAAGTGGACTCCTGAAGTAAGTTCATTTTGCATATTAAAAAAGAAATGTTAATAATTTAAACCTTATTTTTTTAGGTCAAACATTTCTGTCCAAATGTTCCAATTATTTTAGTCGGAAACAAAAGAGATCTTCGTAATGATCCCAACACAATTAGGGTAAGAAATATCTTTCTATGATGTTTATTAATGAAAGTGTTTGCATATGAATTTTGTAGGATGTAAAATAACCTTTTGATTATTTACATTATAATTTTTTTACATTCTTCGATAGTATAATCATCTGCTAACGTCAGGAATCTTAACCACAGTAGTTTTTTCGGTCAATATCTGTTTTCTAATATAAAAGAGGCTGCAAATTGAAATTTAAATCTCAGCTCTTATAAATTTGTCAAGAAAAGATAAAATTATGGTTATTATAAATTTTAAGTAAAAGCAACTTAAAACATGAATCCTTGAGCTAGTACCTGAAAATGAAAAATTACAAAAATTATTTCTATAACTTCGTCCTATTCTTTGTTTACTGATTTTTGTACCATATTAAGAGTTAAAATTTCTCAAAATAGGAGTAAAATAATGTTGATTACGTGCATACGTTATGTATGTAACCAAACGTAAAATTACGTATTATATTTAAAAACCGTTCTTAAAATTGCAGTTCTTAAGTTAAGAACTGTAAATTAAAGGAAATAAAAAGTTGATACTTATTTAATTATCAATCGTGTTACCTTTTTCTATTCAACTACCTGCACTATACTGTCTTGAACAAACAGACAACAATCGACCAGCTACTTGAAGTACATTTTTCTCTTTTTGAAAACTACAAAATTAAGACACTATTTCTTTAAAACATCTAGGGTTTTCTTTCAAAACATGTTAACTATGTTTTTCACAAAAAAATTTATAAATCCAAAATTACTTAAAAATTTAAGCACTTTTTGATGCAAAAAAAAATTTTTTTTCTTCAGCAGTTTTTAGAGCAAGTAAGTTAATGGCTCCAAAAATTTTTCTGACAAAATTGGATGTCAGACAGTTATTTTTAGGAACAGTTATTTCTAGGGATCACAAATTTTGTAAGAAGGCATTATTGAAACATAGATATGTCCTGTTAAATGTGAAACGAACGTTTTAAATTATTCAAAAGTGGATAAGACAACTTATTCAGTTTTAATTTGATATAGAAAAATATGTTAAAATTTTAATACTATGTAATATTTAGTAGTATTAATGTAACATTGTAAAAAGTGAAGTTTTTAAACTATGTTCACTAATTTTCACTAGTGAATGCTTTAATAAAACAAAAATATCAAAAAAGAATTTCGCGAAATATAAATGTTTTACTCGAAATAACAACAATGTAGATATATTCTGATAGAAAACCCTAGATACGTACTTCAACAGCCTCACTTCTCAATATTTCGATTTCATAATCGAGTCAACGGCTCCGAAAATATATTTTATGTTTTTGTAAGATTTGAGTTAAAATTTTTACTTTATTATTTCTGAAATTTCTGCCACTTATTTAGTACTCGTATGTTATAAATAATTCAAGTGAATAAATTTTGAAAAGATTAAAAAATTTTGACTATTATATTTTGTTCGTGCATTATAACCTTAAGAAAATCTATAAGAGTTTCAATAGTTGAAATAATATCAATCTGTTTTGACAGTATAGTGCATGCCTCATTTTTCATCAAATTTTAAAGCGAAATACAAAAGTAGATTCTTCCAAAAGTATAATTACGTTTCCACTAATATTACAGTATATTATAATCATTGAGTTTTAATTATCATTGAGTTTTACTTTCATTGTGTTAAAACTAATTGTTAACAAGAATACAAACAACTAATAATTTTGTACTAATTTTAGGAATTAGCCAAAATGAAACAGGAGCCTGTCAAGCCACAAGAAGGTCGAGCAATGGCCGAAAAAATTAATGCATTCGCATATTTGGAATGTTCAGCTAAATCAAAAGAAGGTGTTCGAGAAGTATTTGAAACGGCTACTAGAGCTGCCTTACAAGTAAAAAAGAAGAAGAAGACCGGGTGTTCCTTGCTCTAAATTGTTTTTGCCGTTGTTTTTGTTTTTCACACTTATACACATACATATAAAATATATAGATATATATACACACCAAAAACGAGGAAGAGCGTTTAACAGTTGGAAAAAAAATTAAGAAAATTTATTTTTTTTTTAAATAAATAAAGAGTTAAAAAATATTTTTTTCGACATCGAAAAAAAAAAAAAATAAGATTTTTACACAAATTCATTTTTTTTAAAGAAAAAAGGAAATTAAATGTGTCTTTTATTTTTAATAATTTAAAAAAGAAAAGTTATGAAAATAAATTGGATATAATGAAATAGTAGCAAAGCAGTAAAACAAAAATTAAAAAATCTTTTAAAGATACTTTTAATGCTATTATTAAATTAAAATATCTATTACAAAAAATTAATTAAGGATAATGGGATGGTCAAAAATTGTATTCAAAATACTTTTTTAAAAAGCAAAACAAACATAAAAAAAATAACTAAAAACAAAAACATCAAAACAATACGAAACAGTTTTTTTTTTAATTTTCTATTTCTACACAATAAAATAAATAAATGTTGGAACTTTTCTTTTCTATAATAATAGGATACGTTTACATAATTTTTAAAATAAAAGTAAAAAATGAAAAAAAAAAAAATAAAAAAAACAAAACAACAAAAGCAAAATATTTTCCCTAACTATTTTATTATTTACAATTTTTTAATTTTTAATTATTCAAATTGTATTTTACGCCAAGATAAATACGTATTTATTATTTTTGAAAAATATATATTAAAAAATAAATATGAAAGTATTGAAAAATTTCTAAAATTATGTTTTTTTTTTTCCTTATTTAGGAATAATGCAAAATTACTCTTTGAAATTTTGTTTATTCATATAGTAGACGTAAAACGCGAAAATTAAAGGCTGTTGTGTATAAATTTCAGTAAGCACACTGGAAATAAATTTTCCTATATTTTCCTTTACTAGTTAAATTTTATTTTACGAAAGCTAAAAAAAAATCCTTACAAATTTTATAATTTTGATAATTAATTTAAGTAAAAGACTGAAACTTAATTCTGTATCCCAACCTTTCATTTTATGAAAAGAAAGTGATCATCATAATATTATTAGTATAAAATAGTTTTTAATTGAACGTTTTGGTATTATTTAATTCGTCTTTTAAAAAAACATTTAAAATTCGGTCATCTTTCTATTAGGGAGATATTTGAAAATTAATTTCTAACTTAGACCTTGTTATAAAACATTCGATAAATCTACAAATATTGCAAAAGAAGCACGTTTGAAAATCATGGCGTACTTAAAGTATTTTTAATTTTTTTTTCAATACGGTAAAAATATTTTAATATTCAAAAAAGAATCACAGAAAAATGTAAGATTAAAAATCTGAAAGTAAACTAGTCAGTTCCTGTAGATCTACAATGATGCAAAAAAAGTTAGATTTTTAAGATTTTAGTTAGGGTTTTAAGTGCATATTCATTTGAATTATCGAAAATCCCCTAATATCTGTTAGAAAGCAATAAGTTCGTAAAAACATGTATTGAACGTGATTAATAAAAAAAAATAATTTTAAGTTTACTAAAATAGGTGACAGAAAAATATGGATGCGCATTTATAATGGTGTATAAATATTCAAATACAAACAGGAAAAATTGAAATATAAACTATAATATGTATTAAAAAAAAATCAAGAGGATAAAACCGTTGGCTTATGTAAAATTTAAAACAGTTATGTTTATTGGAGGTTTTCATTTATTCAGTTCCGCTTGTAGTACGTTTGAAAGTTCGGCTTGTAGTACGTTCGAAAGTTCAGCTTGTAGTACGTTCGAAAATTCACGCTATATACACTGAAAATATAGATCGTCGGAAATTACTGGCTGCAATAAAGTGCGTTCGGAAATTCAATCTGCAATAAAGAAATGTAGAAATGTAGCGCAGACCTCTCTTATAAATTTTACCGCTGTCTCATGAACTTTTTTTTTTTAAATTTAAAATTAAAAAAAAATTTAAATTTCATATGGCAAATTCAGATATTGAAGGGTTATTAAAGTAAATTATGTAGGAGTAAAACATAATTTAAATAACGTAATTAATATATATATGTAAATTTAACTTAACATTACAAATTACAAATTTGTAATTAACTTTACAAATAACACTACAAATAAGTATGTACGTGTGTGTATAATTGTGTCATACATATGTACTTAATATGTCCATCTGTACTCTATGAAAATTTGAGTATCGATGGAAATATTTTGGGAAAAGACATGCGCAAAATTTTGATTATGTTACTTGTATCAAATGAAACTGTTCCCAAAAGCATTTCCTGTAATATTTGAGCCTAAAAGCTTTTTGTCTAAACTTAAATATTAAAAAATATTCTTATTAATTTAAAAATTTAATTTTTGTTTTATTTAATATGTGCTTTATCAGTTACTATATTTTGTAAGTTTTTTCTTTTATACATACATACTTTTAATCACTTGCACACAGTTAATTTCTATGTAATTCTCTATATAATACGCTTATGTATATATATATATATATATATATATATATATATATACATATTTTGGTTATACATATACACAAATGGTTATATTTCCTTAAACAAAACAATAAAATATTTTAATAGTTTTTAATATTGTTTCAGCTTTTATCTCGCATTTTATCAAAACATTTCCTTTTCTAATTAATTAATCCAGATACTATCCAGATACTAATGAATTTGCAATGTTTTTAAATGTAATCTTAAGTTATCTGCGATTTTATACGTTTTAAACTTTAAGAGCAAACTTTTCCTGAGCTCCTGAGGAGTTCCTTAGGTTTTTAATATATAATTATTATAAGTAGATCTTTTAGGTCGCCAATGGTTGAGATTCCTCGCCACTCAAGCCGGAATAAGCTTTTGTCCTTCTTTGTTAGCATTGCTTCGCTTTAGAATAGTCTCTCTACCTCCGTTACGCGTGATGTTGATGGGCGTCGGCGTGTCAGAATGTGCAAGTAGTGCATTTGTTTGTTTTTCTTTTCTCTTCCCATACTTTAATTCCCTTTCCTTTTCCTTCCTTTTGTAAATATTAAATTATTATTTTCATTTCTTTTGATTATTTTGATTATTGCTATGTTTAATATTAACAGGTTTCATTCGTGTTTTAATACCGTATTCAAATATATAAAAAAATATTTCAATAAATAAGTAAAATAAATTACAAATTTTTCTAGTAATAGTAAAACTGTATAATAAACAAAGTTCAAATGCCTACTTATTTTGAATTTTAGAAATTTACACTTTGTTATTTGTTTTGTCACCCTTATTTTGCTTGAAAATCCAAACGGTGACGTAACGAATAAACATTTTCGTATTAGATTATTTTAATCATTTATATTTATCTTATATTTATACAAATACATGAAATTTTCTAAAATATATGAATATTCTAATGATAACCTCCTCTTATTTTTAAAACGTATTCAATTGATATTGTAAGGGAATACCGTACAGATTATGCTTGACCCTCAAATATGTATTGATAACAATCAAATTAATTTAAATATAAAATTCGTCATTTGAATAATCGTGTTAACTTAGTTTTTCTCTTACACATTAATATTGCGGACGTGTTTTTTCAAATTAAAATTCCGAATTTCTTCAAATAATAAAATTTAAAAATGTTTTTGTTTTATTTGTTGTTATACTTTTTATTAATAAGAAAATTAGTTGAATCCGAAATTGCTGTTTTAGAAATTACCAATGGTAAAATTTTTGGATTATTCAATGGTCAGTATTACTATTTCAAAGGTATTCCATACGCTGAGCCACCGATAGGAGAGAAACGTTTTGAATCACCAAAGCCCTTATTGAAAAAATGGAAAGGAATTCGTGACGCAACGAAATCTGCAAATACTTGTTTATGTATGGAAGCTTTTATACATATCAAAACAGGAGCATTAGCAAATTATATACGCGGCTCAGAAGATTGCTTATATTTAAATGTTTATACACCGAAAATTTATACGGAGCAATTATTACCAGTTGTCTTTTTTATACATGGAGGTTCATTTACGTCAGGTTCAGGAGATGTTTTACAAGAAAATACATTAATGAAACATAAAAATTTAATATTGGTTACATTTAATTATCGTCTTGGACCATTAGGATTTATTAGCACAGAAGATGATCAAATATCTGGCAATATGGGTTTAAAAGATCAACGAGTTGCCCTTGAATGGGTTTACAATAATATAAAATTTTTTGGGGGAGATCCACAATACATTCTCATGGCAGGTTTTTCTGCTGGTGGTGCTAGCGTTGAATTTCAAATTATACAACCTGGTATAGAAAATTTAATAAAAGCAGCAATTTCTTTTAGTGGATCAGCACTATGTCCCTGGGCTATAAATCCTAATCCATTAGAAGATACTATTAAAGTTGCTAAAATTCTTAATTGTTCAAATATAATCTCAACTATTGAAATAAAAAAATGTTTAAAACAAGCACCTGCGGAAGATATAGTTGGAACGACTGAAAATTTTCTTATTTACTTATATCATCCGGGTCGAATATGGGCACCATCAATTGAATCACCATTATCTAATGATGCTATATTACTAGAAAAACCAGAGAATTTGATTCGTAAAGGATTTACAAATCGTGTTCCTTATTTATCTAGTTGTACAAGTGAAGATGGAGTTTTTGTAAATGCTGAATTATTGCGATTCCGTGGTGATGGAACAGTAGGTTTAGACTATTTTAATGAACATTACAAAGAATTCTTACCAGTTATTTTATTTTATAATGAACGCATTCATAATAGAAAAGAATTGGACATTTATACAGAAAAATTATACGAAGATGTTGGTATATTTAATGGAACAGTGACATTGGAAAATTTTGACAAATTAACAAGAATTTTCACAAAAGAATTAATCACAGATGGTGTTTTCAAATCATGGAGATTACACAAGGAAAATGGAAATATTCCGATTTACAATTATGTATATAGTAATCCGGCAACATTCGGCTTAGCACATTATATAACTATGCGCGATGATATTAATTTTGGTAATTTGGTTTTTATTGCTATTGCAAATTATAGTTTTTCCTTTAGGCCTTAGTTCACTTGTATTTTGTAGTATCATGACGCTGTTGTTATTTTTCTTCTATAGTTTTTACTACATTAAAAATTATCTAAATTGACTAATATAAAAACCAATTATTAAAATTTTAAATTTTTAGGTTGTGGCCATGGCGATGATGTTTTTTTAATATTTAATTTTCCTGAAAGAGATCTAAAGCCCTTTTCAGAAAGTGAGTTAAGAATATCCGACAATTTAGTAAAAATGTTAGAAACATTTGTTTTAACTGGGTAAAATTTTATATTGAAATTAATTAGCATTTAATAAAAAAAATATTTTTTTTTTGTTTAAGGGTTCCTAAATTTGATAATGAAACTTTGCCAAGCAATTTTCGAAATTCTGTTGAAAAATTACAGTTTTTAAATATAACATCTTCTAGTGCTAGAGTTGAAATTTTACCATAATTAATAATACACATGATATACTTATGTGCATATACATATAAATATATTAAATTATAGCTTTAATAATTCACATTGTATCAATGCAAGTTTTACAATTTAAATACTTATTTTATAAGTTTTTATTAAATTTTAATAAATTACTAATATAATTTTAAGAATATTTAAGATTGAAAAATTATTTTTAAGTATATTAGAATTTTAAGAAGAAAATAATGATAGCAAAAGCACAGTAACGATTTCATCATGTACATATGTCAATATTAAAATTTTAATCTAAATATTCAAAATTGATTCAAAACAGCATTTTAGTTGCGGTTCAGGAATTAAAATTTTTACATTACAAACTATATTAAACGCTTAGTTGAAGACTTAAAAGTAAAATACATTTTTTCTTTCTTTCATTCAAACTCCTATGAAGAGCATTCAACGTTTTCTATTACTCTATTTTAGGCGTCTGATTTTATTTGTGTACAAGTTTTGCGGGTGGGCGACTTCCTAAATATGAGACGTACATACATCGGGTCCATACGTCTTATAGGTCATAATTTTTAATTCTTATTTATGCAAATCTCCATATTATTGATATGTCTTTCCTTTTTATTAGCCAAGTTTCTCTTCCGCACATACTGCTCTGTAATTGAGAACATGAATGTTCTCACCTCTGTGTAGTTGTGCGGAACACCAAATCTTGTATAGTTTTCCCAAAATGTCGCCTTAGCTTTCCTAAAAATAAAATGTAATTAATTTTGAATTTCAGTAAGTTGAATATAGTTATACTATAGTTAAATTTAGAACGCTTACTCCCATTTATTTTGAGTAAAAATTTAAAAATTCTCACAAAAGAAAAAGTTTAATATAAGGGGTGTATTTAATTTCAAAAACAAAATTGTTATAACAAATAAATGAAATTTTTGAAATTATGTTTTTTTTTAGAAGACTGTAAATTAAACACCTACACTGTATGTAGTAAATCCGCACTAAATAAGTTGGCGAAATTTAAGAATTTTTTTTTATAATATTTATAAGATGTTGCACAGTTTCCTACCCGAGCTACTTAGGTCAATAATAAATATTTTTTTGTGTTAAAGTAAAAAGTTAGTTAAATTAATTATTGCTTTTGTTTTCTTTATATTTTAACAAAAGCTAAGAACAGAGGAAAAAGTTAAACCCATAAAATTGAAAAGTATGACGCGACTTTAAAGGTAAATTCTTTTAAAGTGGAAAATCTTTACTTTGCTTTATTTTTTCTTTTAAGTTTTATTGTCTGCAAAATACATGCTTTATAAATCATTTTTAATATATTATGAGGTATATACAGTTATATATATATATATATATATATATAACGTGTATAGTACATATATACTTTTTTCCATTGAAATAAATTTATAGCCTTTAGCTGCAAAAATTTTCTATGGTACCGGAGTAATAAAATTAAATAAAATTTTTTTGGTTTTTTTTTTTTTGATTTTAAGAAAACAAAAGTTGAAAAATTAAATTTTATTATTAAGGACTTAACCTTCAATTTTTTTTGTAATCACCTTTTGTAAAAATGAAATACAATAAAATTATTTCTTAATTCTGAAATTTTTTAATAATTTAACAAAAAAAATAAATCTTGAATTAAAGATAAATTTAAGGCTCATTGTTTTTTTCCATCGGAACTGACTCGCATGTTTTAACTCTTTACGTACCAGTTTAAACGATTGTGTATTGGTGCTTTTACTGAGAAATCCTATAAACATTTCAAAAATTTTGAAATTGATTTCTAAATTGGCAGTTTTAGTTTGGTTCTCCCCAACAAAACACTCTTAAAGAGAATACAAAACTTAGTTAGTTTTTTCTGAGAGGTTTTTAATAAGAATAGGTAAGTTAAAAAAGAATTGTGAAATTCAGGACTATTCTTTTAAGATTACTAATCGTTTAAGAGTTTAGGTAAAATTAAAATGTTAGGGGACAACTGACAATTCTGGGATAAGTTATCTTGATGAATCAGTTAATTTATAAGCTCCTATTTCAAATTTATGTTTGTAGGAAGTATATCGTGAAAACGCTGCATTATCTACAAATAATATATGTGCGTATAAATGAAAGGTTAAAATGATGGTAGGAAATTTCGAGAGGAAAAGTAATATATTCCATCAACAAGAGAATCATACTCAAACCTATAGAAGATGTCGTGTTCAGCGCTATTTAATTATAGCTCAAACTGTCCTACCAAGTGCTATTGAGCTACGTTCCACATAATTGCTTATTTTTTTTTTAAGATTAATCCCAGGTGACATATTTGTATGGATACCATGTCTTCGATTCCGAGTACGAAATTCGATATTTCGCTTCATTTTCAGGTTGAGGCAACTTATTTTAACTATGCACTTAAAATTAAGACCGTGTTTGAGTTTTCGGGACGCAAAGGGTTAAAGATATTCATCACGAAGTTATTTAATAAATTAAATTAAATTTGATGCTTTTGTTAATGATGTGAACAAATAAAATTAGTTTTATAACTTATCATAATAAGATATTTGTCATATATGAGGCCAAGTTTAAAAATGAGAATGAGTAATCAAAATTCAATAGGAACACTTTTGTTGGATAAAGTTTAGAGTATGTTAGATTACTTACTGTATTTAAATTAATCAATTTTTATTGCAGTCAAATGCTGTACTTTATTGGCAATTAATTTTTAATGTATGAAAATCAAATTTATTGAAAAGTCCGATATTCCATGTCATTAATGTGCATATAAGCATAACGTATTATGAAATGAGGTAGATTTATTCATCATATCTTATAAGCTCCATTATTATTTATACAATTATCGTTTTCTTATCAAAGAAAAACTCGGAAATTCTGTACATTTTTAAATATACATAAAGTAAGTGTTTATAATCCTTATTTAATTTTCATTTAAAATTTTACTTTTATAAACTTTGACAATATTCAAGTTTAAATGTTTTTCACTGTGGTTGAGGTGAAATTTAAATCGCTATTAATGAAGAGGAAAATTCTTTTTTCTGTTGGTATTTCATTGATTTTTGTTGATAATTTGTTAATATGTCAAAAATTATATTAAATAAAGATTTAAAATGAGTTACCTGTTAAAATGATGATACATTTTAACAGATCACATTTCATACATTGTAGGAGGTATTGTGATTGTATAAAATTTTACATGTCGTGCTTTCAATAAAAATACGCTTTTCGATTTTCGAGAAACGTAAATATTCTCGTTTAATAGTTTCTATATAAGTTTTGTTTGTAAATATGATGAATTGCTCAACTTTTCGACTATTTTAAGTCTCAGGATTTAGAATTTCTTTTAAAGACCTACTTTACAACTTTTACCCTTATGTAAATGAATAATGAACAAAACTTTGTTTGAAATTTCATATATCAACTCTACTCATAATAATCTTCGTGGTTTAAATCTGGTGGTAGAAACTGCACTTCAATATGAGTTCTTTGCTTTCTATCTTTACAAGACGTGTCTTAAATTTTTATATAAATCATTTTCAGAGCTACTTTAATGTGGCTACAAGTAAAATTTTTAGATTTTATTCAATACATGTAAAATTTATTAGTACGTATATTTTATATGTACGAGTAACACAATTAAGGCTTAATACATATATTAAGTATAAACACTATTTCGGAAATTTACAATGCGATTCATCATTATCTGGCCACATCATATTTATATTGTAGGTATGTATGTATAATAATATAAAAAAAGAGTAGATATTATGTCGAAATTGAAAAGTGGAAAATCAAAATAATGAAAAATTTTTATTGAATATAATTGAAATTTTTTATCAAAGAATTTATTTAATTAATTTATAATAGTCTCTCAAGATTTAACACCTTTATTACGGTGTTAATTAATATTAACGTGTATTAAATCCTGTAAAAAGAATATTTAAATAATTATGTTGTTAATCGTTTAAAGTAAAATTTATTTGAAATTTTGCAGAATTTAACAGAATTCTCTCCGCAAAGTATGCAATTATTATTTCAAAAATAAAACTTTGGTACTTTGGTAATATTAATGAACTAATTTAAGAAGACGATTGCTTTCTAAAAAAGAAGTATATATTACCATGTTTAAAGGGAAAGTGCTACTTTAAAAACCATTGGTTTTATCCAAATTTGTTCCGTTAGATAGTTACAGTAATAATGGAATACTGCAATTGCAAGTTAATAAAAACTGAGTTACAAAATTTTTTAGGTCGCTGTTTGCAAATGAATCAACGAATTTAATATGCCACAAAAATTGATTTCATCCGGGAAGATTTAATAAAAAATTTCTTAATTTTAAACCAAGTAAAGTAGAATTAAAAAACTTTCATTCATAATTTTGCTTGGAATTAAAGTAACTAATGTTTTTGAAAAGATGTAGGGAAGCCAGATTTTTTTTTTTAATTTGCAAGTTTATTTGCCTATTCAAAGTCGTATGTATGTGTATGTATATTGTATATTTGTATATATTTACTTCTCCTCTCTGATTAGGACTTTATTTTTTTTCAATTAAATTAGAAATTTAATTACGAATGTTATACAAAAAACTTGGAATAATTGTCCACTGAATTATTTTTAATTACGAACTTGTTTTTCATATTTAAAACTGTATAACTGTCAATACATATATATGTATGAAATTACATCTTTTGTGGGTAAAGTAACAGATGTGGGTAAAGTAACAGATGAATCAGAGCTGGTTTTTATTTACAACTATACAATACTATAATACATACATATAAATATATATATATATATGCAAAGGCACCATTATTTAGTTGAAAAAGAAAATTTTTTTTCTTTTCCTTTTCAATTTTTATTTCCTTTTTAATTATTATACTTATGAGTGTAATCTTCTGACGACAGGATCATTTAATAAAGAGAAGAATATTTTTTGTTAAGAATTAACATTTGTTTACGTTCTCTTTCTTTTACTCTGAATAATAATTGGACAATATTAATATTTAATTCGGTATAAACATTTTGAAATA